TGAAGGCTGTTCTCAACTACAAAAATCCTATGAGTTAGAATTTAATGAGCAGAGGTGTCATGGTGGTCCAGGGGTTTAAGATGCTGACCAAGCTTAAGGCTTTTGGTGAATGTCATTCTTCCTCTCTCTCACCTTATTTCCTGTGACCTCTATACTGATGCAAAATGCCCTTAAATTGACCACAGAAAGGTAATTGAATGCACAAATCTGATGGGTTTTTTGGGGTTGTTCTTTTAATTATCTGAATATTTTTGTTTGTCCGTCATAAATGTTCCTTTGTAAATTTATGCAGGCATGCGACATTAAGTAACTTAGATTTTAGTATTCATAAAACAGAGCTAGCTTTGACAAAGATATATAGTACGTTTCTCAGCGATTACTCAACGTTAGTTCATTTAAATCTTGAGTGCAGTAAACTGTTATATCATTGCCTCAAAGACCAACCCAGCATGGTAAAATCATGGTACAGTTTTTCTCTGTAACACCTCTTTAACTCTCCTATTATCCAGGTAAAGTGAAGGGTCTCTATGACTCTCAGGCCCCAGCGTGTCCAGTCTGTCAGGCTATTCTGCGACCAGGAGAACTGCAAGAACACATGGAGCAGGAGTTGACCAAACTCGCCCAACTACAAATGAGGTATCACTATCTGATCACAAATTACCACTGTCGGATTTCCCTCTATTCACTATCACAAAATCTTGTTCCATTGCCTTTATTTAACATTCTGCCAACAAGTGGTTTTATAGCTGAGAATCACATGTTCACATCCTCCTTCTAACCATTTTCTTTCTTCTTCCAACTTATCCATTTGTCATTTTCTTCCTGTTTTGCAAACCAGACTTTCTATTCTGTTCAGCTTTCAGGTGATAATTAATGTTGACAGATTTAGTAACTAGAGGCCCCCCCCCCCCTTTCAGTTTCCCCAGGTGGCATCTCCCGTCTTCTCTGTCACCTGCGTGCACTGTTTACAAGCTGCCTCATTGTTCCCTACATATTTCATATTACAGCCTCCGGCCTCGAGGCGACAAATCATACAGCGGGTGGATAATGTCCTGATAATGGCTGCTTTGAGCCCTACATACACACACGCTCACTAGTCTAAAACATACACAGGAGGACCAGAGGTGCACACACACACATGCACACACACAGACACACATTACCTGCTTAGACCAGAAGAATGATTCCTCCAATAAAGACATTACACTCCAAATCTGCTTAACGACCGCTCCGTGGACAGTAATGGTTTCAAATTGAACTTGGCCCACGGGGACACTGTGTGTGTGTGTGTGTATCTGCGTGTGTGTGAGTGAATGTGTGTACTGTATCTGTGTGATACAAGTGTGAAATGAGGTTATACACAGACTCAGATAGAAATTTAGACAAGATAAAGGCAGAGGTTATTTACGAGATGACATTTAAAAGACAATATTGTGTTTGTATATTTTATAGAAACATAGTGTAGTTGATTTGTGTGTGTTTGTGTGTGTGTTGGCTTCTATTCACAAGCTTGTTTAACATACGAGCTTCTGTATGATTTGCTTCTTTTCTCTGCAGTGCCACTCCAGGGCACCACGACCACCTCATAAGGACGCCGAAGGTAAATGGTTGATATTGCTTGTGAGTTTCAGGAAAACACAGCAGCTTTCATTCAGGCCTTTGACTCTATTTTTCTATGTTCTTTATCACCTTTCTCTCCAGTCGCTCTCGCTGTCTCTTCATATAAAGCGTGAAGGAGGTTCTCCCACCTCGCCCCCTCGACCGTCTGAGGATGCGCACTCTGACCGATACCAGGTAAGGTTAAAAAGATACACAAAACCAGTATCAGATTATCAGGAGTTTCAGGTTTACAGAATAATATGGTACATGTCAGATTTAGAAGAAGAAATTGACAAAAGATGTACAGACAACAATGCGATATAAGTACAAACATGAATAAATATACAGTTAGTTATTTATGTTGTTTGCCATGTTCATACTGCCGGTAATAACTTTACTTTGCTTTGCTACTGAGTTTCTTACCTGAGTTTTGTATGCATCCCTTCCAAATGTGCGTGCTGATACTTTTGATTAGTGCACTAAAACAGTACCTGACAAGTAGTAGTTAGCGGCACTGTAAAAACATTGTTCTTTTGTCCTGGTGTGGTGCCAGTGACTCACCGGGTTTATGGTCTGGGGCTCAACATTCAACACCTCACTTAAAAGTAAGAGTCGAGTCAAGTCAATTTTATTTATATAGCTCAAAAACACAGGTTGGTTTTTACAACCTGAACAACATATTATACTGTATTTCCTTACGCCCTTGAGGAATACTTCGACACAAAACAAAAACTTTATATAGATGCAATATATGGCATATATACAGAGGAGACAGTGCAGGAGTAATAGAAATACAATATAAATAAACAGATATTATTTTTTTATATTATAAACTATATTAAGTAAATATAGTACAAACATACTTCAATAAGTAGACATTAAGCGTAATAAGAAATGCATAAAATATGGCTGAATTTGCTATCTTTGCTTTCTAATAAAGTGTGTTCTGTAATGTTTTACTTCAATCCACTGTGCTGCTGTTCATTTGTTCCAGTTGAAATGTAAATGAAAAATTATATTCTGCATGAGAAAAATATGAAACATCCTGACGTTTCTTTGTGTTTGTTTCAGACGTTTCTTCGTGTGCGGGCCAACAGACACACCAGACTGAATGGTACGTTGATGCATGCAGAGTTGTGTTTCATCGCTGCTGACTCAGTTTGTAGTTAAGGGACAGCTCAGTACACAAGACTCTGTCCGGTCTGCAGTTTTAAATGGCTTTGAGTTTTTTTTAAAAAACATTACAGTTGCCTTTGTTCACACTGATGCCACCAGTTATGTGTTTCGTCCAACTCCCCCTCCTCCTTCCTTCATTAGTCGTTCAGATATCACCCTTTTTCCCACCACATCTCCACTGGCCTAGCGCCCACACGAGCAGAGGAGCTATTAACCTTTCAACTTTGACCTCTTGATATGTTAACAGTCGATGACCTCTGCTGGTGCAGGTGCTACGTCAAATCTGCCCCATTACGCCCCCACAGCGCAGGAGCCCACCTAGACTGCACACAAGCTGGTAAGACACACTGAGAAGCACTTTCTTCATCATCAACTATAATGAGCAGCTGCTGAGTTTTTTCCTTCCAGTCTCTCAATTTTAAAAACAAAGCATATGACTTTCTACTAAAGGGCTTATAAGTTATAACTAATGGTTTTTATCAAACCATGTATCACTAAAATGCAAACTTTTCATGTAAGAAGTAAATGTTTTAAGTTTCATGCTGGTGATTATCTTCCTAGTATGTCATTAATGAAGGGTTGGTACCATAATCTATCAAGTGATGTCAACTTGTTCTTATTAATGGCTTAAAACTGATCTATGAAGCAAAGTAAATGATTAGCAAATGATTATAGGAACTGTTAATAAAGCCATCACTCACAACAAATAAACCTTTCATATATATTAGAGAAATGTCAATGGTAGTTTAAGTTCATTTGTTGTTGTCATTTGGTAGTTAAGTTATTAGAGAAAGTGGTACCAATTAATAAAAGAATACATAATAATAAAACTATTTCAACTGTCTCAGACCATTTCAAATATATATATTATATAATAGTGTCTGGGCGCTGATACAGACATATAGATCCACAGAGCATCCTTAAAGCTGCAGCTGACATCTTACTACTGTTATTATTACCGCTGAGATTCTCCGGCTCTTAGCTGACTCTTCAAACTGCCAGCGCTGTCGGGGTCTGTTAGCCTTTATTGGGCCTTATAACAGGACAGCATAATGAGCTTCTAAATACATGTCAGGGAGGAAGCAGAAGAAAGGAGGAGGAGAGGGCTTCTCTGTTGATTAATCAACCTCTCTCACTCTCTCTCCTCTCTCTCCTCTCCCCGTTTGATGAGCTCTTCCTCATCTAAAACCGTCTCTTTAACCCTCATTATGTTCGCTGCGATGGCGGTGCTCGGGTCACGGCCACCAGCTCTCTGTGTGTCCACCCCCCTAACCCCCTCGGGGGTCACTGTCATCCAGCGGGAATTAGAGGGCCCTAAAACTTAATGTCCCCTTATGCAATCTGCAGTCAGTCAGGTCACAGTGGGCAGTGGGAGAGGAGGTGCAGTTGGTGTTCTGCCATGTTAACTTTTATATCCGAGGGGGGGCGGGATGACAGGATGGAGATGGGAGGAACGCTTTGCATCCACCTGCAGTTGTTGAGTATAAAGAGCTCCCATCTGTGATTTCTGGCTCTTATGTGTGTAATTGTATGTTCAGGTCTGTGTGTGTGTGTATGTGGTCGACTTGCTGTGTGATTATGTTTCAGGTTAATCCACACATAAAGTTTTTGAAAGAAGCACAAACGATAGAAGAAGTTTTTATTTTTGGATGTTGTTGTCAGATGAGCTCAATTATCCCATCATCACCACCCAGTGTGCTGATCCAAATGGGTTGATCTGCTACTACTAATGATATAAAAGTGGATATTGTTACAATATATTTTGCATACTTAAGACTTAATAATCCTGAAACTGTCAATGTTTAGACTTGGTCTCTTATTTTCTTTTTTGGTCAGGTTTGAAATGATCATATACCGTGATGGCAGAATCTGGAAGTTTTTAACCATTTATCCATTAATTTTTGCCTTGTATTTTACCCTTAACTCGAATATATACAACTATTTTATTTTTTCAAATTAGCAAAGCTACTCCACAATCTTTTACATACCATCTGACAACTGCAAAAGTATCCACCATAGTACATTATACTCTGAAACAAACATTACGCACCGTCATAAAACAACATGAAGATTATGTTATTTTACCACAGTCACAGAAAAATATTCTGTCGCAATGAATAAAAAATAATCTTAAATAAAATAATATTTTTTTTAGATTTGTTATAAATAATTTGTTTTAATCTTGAACCTTATTCTCACTTCACCTCCAACAGTTTACTTAATTTTTCTTTTAACCCTTCTTAAAAAACTACAAACCCTATCCTACAACATTCCAAAATATATAACCAGTTAACAGGTAAATGTTTCAACCTGTTTATAGTGTACTTCATTTAAATCTTAATATCTTAATGGAACTTCTAATGTTCACATTAATAAAACCCTGAAACAGAGATTTTTACGCCTTTAATGTTGTGTTTTTGATGTTAAAACATTACATTGTAAAGTAAGACTGAAATAAAATATATTTAGGATGAGAAAAGTAGAATACACATTATCATGTGGAAATGATTTGGATTTTAAGACACTTATTCAACCTGCAGTCAGGAATAAAGGTTTGTATAAAGTTTGTATGAAGTTTGAGAGTTACAAAGTAAAACAGGAGCTCACAAGCTGATAAAAAAAGGAGCTAGTGAAGTGACAGTGTCCTGCTTTTAAAGTCAGTGTCACCATCTCATCTGTCTCTGTCTTCTGTCTGTTCCCAGTCAGGATCGGGAAGCTGAAGAGGAGGAAACCAGAAGAGGGACAGGTATGTGTTTTCTTTTTTGTTTAAAGAAGGCAGATGGCAGTTTTATTGTAATCCGAAATGAATATAAGTGTATAAGGAACCTGGTCGGGTTGAGAAAATGTCGGTGGTCAAACCCCCCCCCCCTCCCGACACTGTTGACTGCTTTTGTTCATGTAGCATCAGGATCACTGTCAGCTCGCTGTGTATCCATGTGAAAACACGGGTTCACAGCTATAAAAACACAGAATCAGATACATAGCTGGAGGCTTTGGGAGGCATATAGAAATATTCACAGAGACACTCAAATTGTGTACTTTGTGTGTGTGTGTGTGTGTGTGTGTGTTTCAGGAGGGCTCAGCGGACATGCTGCCGCTGGAGGACGAGTGGAACGACAGGAGAAGGATACAAATGGCGTCTATAGTCGGAGGGTTTAAAGGTAAGCGTGAATCTGTGTGTGTCATAAGTGTGTGCGCGTGCCATCGAGGTACCCACGTGTATGATCTTGTTCAGTGGAGGGTGAATAATGTGACTGAGTGACGGTTGAAAAAGCCACTGAACTTTTCAGTCCAGATTACAGCGGAGCAGGATGCCTTGAAGGTTAGCTTAAAAGTAACAGTTTCTTTTACCCGAGAAGGAAGCTCTGACCTGCAAACTTGTTATGCGCTGACTGACAGAAACAAGCAGAAGAGTATAAAGACAGGAAAACATAACAGTTTGTGAAATTCACCCTATTATGACCTTAGAAAATAAGAACAGAACTTCTCCACTTTGTCTTTTTACAAGCAACTTCAAACCACACTTCTTTAAACAGAAACACCATCGAAATTAGTTTTGATGTTCTTCTGAAAATGTCTCCTCAGGTGCAGTCCTGGTGAGCACAACTTCTAAGGAGTGTCGAGACAGCGATGCAGACCTGGACGTAGACGGAGATGACACTCTGGAGTACGGCAGAGCGCAGTATCCTTTACAGTGAACACGGCAGTAACACTGAATATTACTTTTGTTACTACCTGAACTTTAAAAAAGCAGTAATAGATAGGATGGCTCTAACTTGGGAGAAATTACCTCTACTTGGATCAAATGTGACTGATTATTGGAATGGATGGATTTAAAATAAAGTCAAACAAACTACCACTGTATACGTACTATTTTCCAGCATTTTCCAGGTTATGTAAGTGTCTTACTTGTTGTTAGCCTAGTGTTGTTCTATGTTTCCTGAACTTTGTTCTCAGATACACAGAGACAGATGTCATCCCCTGCTCAGGAGAAAGCTCCAAGGAGACAACAGTGAAGTATGTATCCCACCTGATAGGGTCTGATTCAGTTAGATATTAAAATCACCACACAATCTATCCTTTATTATTTATCAGAGGTGATTTTTCATCAATGTTTTTGTTTTTATTTTAATATTTTTCCAGCAGCAGCAGCAGCAGCACATTGCCTGACTCCAGAGTAAACCTAGAGTTTTCCAAATGGTCAAATGATGGTGAGTTAAGCAAAGTCTAAAAGAATTAATTAATAGATTAGATAAGGAAAAAATGAGAATTGTACACAAACAGCATCTTTATTGCATCATGAATATCTGTGTTTGTTCACTCAGGGAGTCCATCTACCAGCAGCGGAGAGAAAGTGGACGGGAGCATAGCTGGTCTTCCCAAAACCTGCAAAAACTCTGAGATAGAGACGTAAGTCTGGGGTCATTCAGAGCCTGCAGTACACTGCAACTATGTCTGTGTCACATTACTCAGTGCCTTGAACATCCTCACTGCTGATTATCTCAAAAGGTTTTCAATGTTTTAAATTTAAAACTTAAAGTTAGAGTTTTCAAACAGCTGAAATTGTTTAGTAAAACAACAAAAAACACTGAAACCAAGTTACAAATCAATCATAAATCATCATAATCATGCTGGTGGTAGTGAGGTAGGTTGGGTGTAGTGAATCCGCGAATCAGAGCAAAGTAAGTGTAACCATCCCTTACTTTAGCAGCCCGGCTCTCTCTGTTGTAGCACTACCTGCCCCTGCTCCAACCAGTGTGATACATAATACTATATCAATGTGATGATATCATCAATCAAGGTCACAGCAGGCGACACACGCATGTACACACATTTCATCACACTTAATGCATTGTAGCCTGTCTGCCTCGCTGTACAGTATGTTTGCACATACACTCTATTTTGTAATTGTGCGCTTGTCCGTGTGTATGTCTATCTCTGTAAGGACCCTCACCCCCCTCCCCTCTGCCTATGATAAATGAGACAGTGAATGCGGGCGATGTGATTGCTGATAAATTTCATGCTCAGTGTCCATGTTGGCCAGCGAATAATTTAATCTGTCTTCGATTTATAAATGACTCTCCAGTGTCTGCCTAACTCTCCCATCTCCTCCCATCTCTCCTCCTGTTACCGTCCATCTGTGTGTGTGTGTGTGTGTGTGTGTGTGTGCAGGCTCTCAGAGGACTCCACGCTGACAACTCTGGATGCACTTAAAGCTCGGATACGGGATTTGGAGAAACAGTTGTCTAAAGGAGACAGATTTAAATGCCTCATCTGCATGGTGAGTACAGAGGAAATTAAATCGACAGAGAAAAGATAGAGACAACAGCGCAGTAATGCAGAAACTGCGGATATTCCTGTAGGGACCTATGCTAATATGTCATGGTCATGCGCTTTCAATAGAATGTAAATTCAATATCTTGATCTGTTGATATGGATTTGTATTTATATTACTTAAAATTATATTATTTGAAAGGAAAATTTGTTTTACATCCAACTTAAACTACCATTGACATGAAATTGGATAGTATGTTGTTTAATCAATTCTGTATAATGTTAATATACAGTAGATTGATATATAAGACAAATATTGATCTTGAAACCTAGCTTTGACACTGATTTTATGTTTAAAAAAATATTTTTTAGTTTTAAATTACTCATTATTTCCTGGCCTATCCCGGCAGTGCAGGTGGAACTTGAGAATCTACTACAAGTGATGGGTACCGCAGTGTTCAGCCTCCAGCTCTGGCTGAAGTGACCACAAAAATGTCACCACCAATGATTTCCTTGTATTTATTGTATTATTTGTCATGATTCTATTTATTATCTCATACTGATAGACTTTTATCTATTGTGCTGTTTTATATATTGACTGTTTTTTTGTCTACTTGGTCAGGGAAAAAATATACAAATGAGCTGTTAGCTTACTCATACTTACTCAGCACTGTGCGATCAACTGTGCGTGGTCCATGCAAAAATAAAAAAATAAAACATTTTACGCTGGTGCTGATAATTAATGAAATGGTTGATCTACAGAAATCCTCAACGAATCATTTAAGTCATTTATTTAGCAAAAATGCAGCATATTTGCATATGACATTTAGTCAAATATGGGAATTTGCAGCTTTTCTCTGCTTTATATTGTTGTTTTGGACAGTCGATTGAACAAAAGAAGCCGTTTCCCTGGCCTCTGAGAGCTTGTGAATATTTATTTACTGTATTTTCATTTTAATTATTAACTAAATAACAGAACAAAAATGATCCATCTATCTCCTTATTTCTGGTATAAGATGGCGCAGAAACAAATATATGTTGTAGTTATTCAACGACAAGCTCAAAAAAAGCTCTTCAACTCCACACAAACTGACAGTAAAAGCTTCATAGATCAAAGCACAGTTTGACAATTCTTTGTGAAGACAAAGCCGCTTCGTCTCGGTCAATCTTTGTTCAGATTCTTGCACACATGACTGCACTAATGTTGCACCCATACCTTTGTGATGAAAGAAGTAAGTCAATGTGGTTTTAAACTGATGGAGTTTACCTTGCTCATTTTTATTTGAGCTTATGGAGAGATATTGCCAAAACATAATGTATTTTATAATGTATTAAAAGGGTACAGTGTAATAAATCACTAAACACACCAGCTGGACCTTTCCTATTGTTGAAGAGGCTTTGAGGGGATCTAACAGGGAGCGTCTTTTATTGCACTTCATGTAGTTTCACATGGACATCTAGTGGCAGTGTTTTGTACTACAGGTAAGGAATCATCACCTGTGTTTTGTCTCTGCAGGACACGTACACAACTCCTCTCACCTCCATCCAGTGCTGGCATGTTCACTGTGAGGAGTGTTGGCTTCGAACGTTGGTAAATCATCGCATTTGTGCTGATTCATATAAACATGACATTAAAGTAAAATGACCCGAATATGTTTGATAAAGTCTCATTGTTCCTTTTCTTTTCAGGGAGCAAAGAAGTTGTGTCCTCAGTGCAACACTATCACCTCACCTGGAGACCTGAGACGGGTCTTCCTGTGACGCAGCCACTCACAAAATGAGGGAAGGGGCTTCTTGTGTTTCAGCCAATCAGGGGTGGGCGTGTGGGCAGCTGGCCTGTCCTCCTCTTCCTCCTCACATCTTTCCTGGTCCTACCTGTCCGTCCACTAACCACTGATAAACAGCAAGTGTGACCTTTGACCTTCCTTCACAGCCCTGTACAATATCTGTGTTCCTGCTGCAACACCAACAAGATCAGAACAAACTAAAAAAAACGACTGTGAGCTCAGGCACTGAAAAACAAATAGAAAGAAAAATCGCTTTGGGACAATATTTATCGATTTTGTAATCCTTTTTTCTGTTTTACGAGGGGAATAAATAGTTGAATCTCATGCAAAGCACATGTACATAGTTTTGTGTATGTTTGGATTGGTGTGTGTATATGATGTTGGCAGAACAACCCGACTGTATTTACTGTACAGAGTTTGTCTTTGCTTAGATCATTTATTATTTGTTTAGCTCCTGTAGTTTGGAAACATTTACAGCCATTTCATCACATTCAGGCTAATTTTGTCTTTGTCATTGATGTGTTTCTTTGTATAGGATCATTAAATCTAATTTTATCAATGTTACTACAATAAAACGTGCGTCTAAAAAGTTGTGGCGTCACAATATATTTTAACTGTGGGGGTAATATGTGGGGATTTTAGGCAAGCATCTTGTGTTGTTTAGTTGTTGATGGCCTTGTTACGATGACTCTGTGGTGGATTCGCCCTTTAAGAAGTGGGTCGGTGCAGGATTAGCCAGACAGAGGCCACTGCAGCTCAGTCGAGAGACACTAAACCCTGCTATTCTGAGCTTTTACCGTGTGGGGGACAGAAGACCACTCAGTTCCAAGGTTAAATCACACCACGGAAATCACAATTTCATTATAGTTAATAGAGGGACAGCGTAATTTAACTGTGTCCAACAACTGTGTTAGTTTTGAATTTTATGGTTGATTTTTTGTTTTTGAAATATGTAGTGTATTGTAGTGGGGAAAGTAAAAGAGCAGATGTTTGCATCATTTCCATCACTTTGACCTCTAACTGCTCTAGTTGAGCTGTTTAATAGACTGTAGTTGGACTGAGCAGCTTCCAGAATATGTGGCTTTTTCTCTCAAAGCTAAAATCCACAATCCACATAAAACTTCTGCTGCACTACATGATACTGTATTTCAACAGTGACGTGATCATTTGTTTATGAAAATCTTCTACCTTGCCCACATGGTGTTGTGACCTGTATGGACAGTTTGGATAAAAACAAGCCAGCATGCACACATGTGATTGGTCGTTGAGCTGAAGGGAGGTGGTGGTAATTCAGACTGACAGTGAGCTGCTTCAGTGAATCAGTCTGACAAGCACACACACACACATACATATACACGTATACACACTTATGGTACACAGTCCATTAAGAAGCCCGGCTGAAGAATCATCTGCTGTTGAACTTCTCAACGACACAGATTGTACAGGCGGTGTGTTAGAAGGTAAGGTGGAACTTTTGACTTTGTTAAAATTACTAAATTTATCTACATTGAACCAAGCAATTAAACATACTGTAAACATACTTAGTAATCAGAGTTAAGGGTTCAGGAACAAACTGAAACTAAAGGAAAAGTGCATTATAATTGCATTGCACTGTACTACAACCTGTCATACTGCACATTCACAATGTATGTTGTTTGTACAGTATTTGCTTGGACATTTTAAATGCCCTGTGCAGTGACTGAAGGCTAAAATAGTTGTTTGGGTCCTAGGTGATTAAGAATAGTTGTAAATCTGTTAATAACTGTATTACAAGCTTAACAAGTTTGAGTAAAGGAGGCACATTTTAATAGTTTGGTACTTTATTGATCTCTTATATAAAAGAAGCAGGTGAAGCCAATGAATAACTCGCAAAAACAAGATGTTGATGGAGAAGTTGTTTTTTTTTTTTTTTACTGTTTCAGGCTTTCACTGTGTTATTAAGTAATTATCTTAATGATGATTCTAAATGAATTGATTCAAAAGTGTCCCTGAAACATCATCCTCTCTTAGAGCAGCAGGTAAATGGGTCACCTGTCCTGGACCCTTTGTGCCGCCTGGCCCAGATCCAATTAATCCTGCTGACTGACCTGCCATGACTTCATTAACAGGGATTCTTAACATTAACCTCTGGGCCTCTGGCTGTCTAACGAGTCAGCAATTAGGACATGGACGTGTTTCAATATTTTAATTAAGGAAATAGGAGGGAGAATTTCCTATGTGTCAATTATTAGTGGCGATTAAAACCACAATAATATAAGAGCAAAGGTCCGCTTACAACAATGTGCGTGTCTTGGGATGTTTCTTCCTGACAGTGTAGTGGTTAAGAGAGGCTTGGATCAAAGGATTAGCCTTATTTGACATTGTCCCTGTTAATAGGAAAGTTGGTGAGCTTTAACAGCACTGCAGTAGTAATGTATATGTAGAAGAGGAGTTTAAAGTGCTTAATGCAAACTGTTTTTTCAAAAGGTCAAAAATCATTCATTAAAAACTATTTTCTAAATAGAATGATTCACAAAAGATGAATCCTATTCTAGAAATAGCTTCAAACCTGTAATGCCTGTAATGGTTACATAAAGTGGCACAGAAGATCAGATTGTAATCTGCTTTTGGCACAAACCTGAGCTCACTCTGTCCTCGTCCCCCCCCCCCCCCCCCCCCNNGTCTGTCTCAGAACAATGTCAGGACCAAGGCCCGTGGTGCTGAGTGGCCCCTCCGGAGCAGGGAAGAGCACTCTGATGAAGAGGCTGATGAAGGATCATGAGGACGTCTTTGGCTTTAGCGTGTCACGTACGTTTGTTTGCCAACTGGTTCTTGGCTTCCATCACAAAAAAACATCCTGTCTGTGGAGGAAGTAGGACAGGAGTCACAGTGTCTCAGCTTGATGGTCTAATTCTTCACCGGCCAATAGATTTTGTTATATCAGTAAATCTTTTCACCTCAATATCTAACAAAGCAACATTACTGATGATTTATTACCTAATTTCTGGGTTTTAATAATGAAATCCTCTCCTCACAGACACAACAAGAAACCCTCGACCAGGAGAGGAAGATGGCAAAGGTACAGTAGCTCTGGCTCAAAGCACACTTGTTGGTGACACTTTGTAACAAGCGTTACAAGTGGGTGGTTGATGTTTTTAGCACCCTCACAAAGATACACACAGTGATTCACCATGCAGGAGCACTGAACTGTGATGAAAGTGTGTTTTACACCACTTTGCTTTTTGTTTCTGTACCACATTTCCCATCCCTCCATACCCGCCTGGTCTAAAGTAATGTCCACAACACTTCTTACTCCCAAGTGAACTGCACAAATGGTTTTGTCCCCCCTGTATAGCCCCCTTGATATAAAAGGGATAAACCTCTTTCTGTGCCTTTTTTGCTTTCTCCATAGGGTTGAACAAGCTCCCCATGCTTCTGGGGGCTACTTTACTGCCCGTAGCAGCCGTCTTTTCCTCTGAAGACTTAGACTTGTCAACCTCATTTTCGTGTCCAAACGAATCAGAAACCACAGATAAAGGTGACCTCAGTGTGATTCCTGATCACAGTTTTTAAGGCAGAGGGATGGGGGTTACTTTCATCATCCTGCATGGCACGCTGTCATTGGATTCGTAGGAATTAGTCATGTGAGAAACAAAAAGAGAAAATGAAAAAAATAAGGAATTGGGATCAGACGGTCTACACTTTGGAGTAAAAAGCTTTTGAAAATAGCCCCCTGTTACGCCTCAGTAGTGATTCCCATTTCCAGTCCTGTGAGGTTTTATGTCCAGAATCCTGTCCCATTTCCCACTGTGGCTCATTGATGAACCAATCATTAGCATCACATGAGCAAGATACATCAAGTGAATCTTCTTTGGGATATATAGGATCCATCTGAGCTGTTCAAACACTGTTGTCACTTCCATATAACGAAACATTCAAATATTCTTTGACAGTCAGGCTCAGACACTGTTCATGTTTTTATTTGTGCTGACCATATTGGACACTGAATATATATTTATTAATCTAAAATATGTCCCATCATTTGAGTAATACATACTTGATCTTGCTTACTTTGGGCCAAAATGAGGTTTTGAACATGCATAAACATATTCCATGTACTGCAGTTTCCCTGAGTGCTGTTTAAAAGTAATTCTGCCTTGTTTTCAGGCTTATTATCTGTTTGTTTACAGCACAGCCACTTCCTGTTCTATCCAGCAGACTCCTTTATGTTGTCTTGCTAATGATTGTTTGCTATCGCAGTGCCCATTAGTGGTGGTTGTAGTAACATGTTTGTTTCTAAAACTCTGCTGTTTTAGATCCCCAGAGTTTTTGATGTTATGAAGATTTAGGCCTATGGATCTGGTATGGACAATAAAATGTGCTCTGGAACAATTATACTAATGGCATCTTTAGAAAAAAAACATATTTCTCATCTTTGCATACCTTTCCCTGAGGAGAATGACTGCATACTTGTTTGGTTTTTGCAATTTGAACAAACTGTCTCAAATTTAGCTCAGAAGAGAACATCATACACTTGAATACAATCTTCCACCAGTTGTACACCACAAAGTTAGCCTTTGTGCCTGGATTTTCTGTGATCTCTGTGATGTTGACTGTTTATTGTGATGAAACCGGGCTCATCTCTTACTAATTTATAGTGACTGTTCATTTCATCACCTCTCTTCAATCATTTCTTTCCATTGTGAAAGCTTTCATGGCAGAGCTAGATTCATTATACGTTTCATTCATTATATGTTGCGTCTTGCAGACTACCACTTCACAACGAAAGAGGCCATGCAGGAGGGCATTGACAATGGAGACTTCATCGAAAACGCAGAGTTTTCCGGGAACATGTATGGAACGAGGTAAATATTTGCATCACTGTGTGAATACCAGTGTATTTTTAACCACATAAACAAGAGCAACTTGAGAAAACGTCTGTGGTTTTGATGAATAATCGCTGACATCTCTAGTTTGTACACATTTGCACACATTAGCTATATATGTAATTGTTCACTTTCTTTTTCCCAGTTTCAATTATCAATTAAATGTATTTTAGTGGTCTAACTGCTGATTCAGAAGCTTTTCCAAAAATAAAAATCTGAAAGAACAGCTGAGTTAATGTGGGTGAAAATACAATATATATTAAAGTATAATTGTCACTAATACCGGTTTAACTTAATTTACCAGAAATTAAGACTGTTGTCCTATATAAGAGAATACCCTCAGGCATAGCCACAGGGATCAAGAGGATGTATAATAGTCTGGTCACAGATGGAGCTTTAACCCCATTACGTCAAAAAGAGCAACGCTACGGCTCAGCACCTTGTGTTTCAAGTTTAATCTCTCCCTCTTACTCTGAAGATAACACACACATACTCACTGCAGTAACAGTCTGAGCAGCTTGGATCAATGCAGTGATCCTCTTACCTTAGTCACCACGTGTGAGAAGCACAAAATGACATGATTACACTCTCATTGGACATTGTCAAGCCTGTCAATGTGCAGTGCTGCTGGTTTAAAAAAACCTCCTGTTTGATAGAATTTTATAATGTAACAATGCATCGATTCTCCAGTAAAGCTGCCATAGAAGACGTGCAGGCCCAGAACCTAATCTGCATCTTAGATGTGGACATCCAGGGGGTGAAGAGGATTAAAGAGACTGACCTGAACCCTATCTACATCTCCATCCAGCCTCCCTCCATGGAGATCCTGGTAAATGTCCAACATAATTGTAATACTTCAATGCACTTTTAAGCTTATTTTATCAATTAAGCTGAGTGACAAATGTGCTAATTTATGACATTTATTCAATGTTTTTTGTTGTTATATACTTTGGTCTGCTTTAAAAAAAACAACCTAAATACTGAGGGACAGGATGAGATCAAATTGGTCTGAGAAGAATAAAAAATAAAGGAAACAAATTCTACTTTGTGGAATTTGTGAACTGCAGACATGACTGCTGTTTTGTTACTTGATGGATCAGCTCTTGTTTAAAAAATACCCTCTCTTAGGAAAAACGTCTGAGGGACAGGCAGACGGAAACAGAGGAGAGTTTACAGAAACGCCTGGAGGCAGCACGCATCGACATGGAGCTCAGTAAGTTTCTCTGCAGTTCTACTTGGACACAAAATATAGACAGACATGGCATCTGATTCAATTCTCTTTTCTAGGTAAGGAGCCTGGAGTGTTTGATGTCGTTATCATTAACGATGACTTAGAGAGGGCCTATGAGGAGCTGAAGGACATCCTCAATGAAGTGAGTGAAACCAGAAAATGTCCTTATTTGTTTAACTTTGCTACTATTGTCTGGCAGCTGTTGCATGGAAGCTTTGGTTAAATGTGAAAGAATCCCTCATCTCTCTTTGTACAGGAAATCCAAAAAGTTCAGGAAGCCAAATCATAAGAGGGAAGCAGTAACCCAGTCTTTCTGCTGCTGGACAGAAGAACCAACACTTGTGACTCACATAAACACACACAAGTTTGTTTTTCTTTTACCCTCTATGTTATGTGGTCAGAGGTTTCATGCTGAATGGTGCTCAGACGGAAAAGAGGGATTTTTGTCCTTGACTGAGAGAACAGGGCTAGAGTGTGTGTTAGATTTAGTTAAATTAATGGTCGAAATCTCCACATCCATACATTACTGTCGGCTCAGCTGGCAGGTAAAAGAAAAAAAATAGGTACAACGGACAGATTATGTGCTACATATGGTCTTTGAAATCCAAAGTTTGGCACTGGCCTGCCCTCATGTGTGGAATACACATCAGTACCTCCAGTCAGTACCTAGTAAACACACCGCAAAGTATTGAGAAATTGTTCAGAACATAGTTCCACTTTCATTTATTTGTTTTGTTGAATACTAATGCAGTAGAAATAAATTCAATCATAGTTAGGTATATTATCAAAAATATTGGTGATTTATATTGACTAATATTATGTTATTTAAATAATTACTCCCATGCTGCATATTATTTAAATATTACATGAAGGAAGCCCAAGATAAAATCACTGCATGTGTTACATTTACAACCTTTGCATGTATGTTTGTGTGTTTGTATACAAATGAGACTGAATAAAGAATGTGAGGACAATGACTGACCACTTTTGTGCCATTTAATTAATTTTTCATTCACTAACTCATAATATAAGTATTAAGTATTATGAAACTTAAAAGCATCTAATAAAAACTGTAAATCCAACCGAGTTCCCATTTATACATTGCATCTTCAAGGCAAAACGTGTGCATTTGAAAATAAAATATATCACTCAGAAAAATATCTGCTCTAACAGTTTTCACTTTAAGGCCAAACGTGTGTCTGTCTGATACTGAGGTGCAAAGCAACAGTTTCTCTTTTACAACTCGTAGACTAAACCTAATCCCTGATATGTTTCCATTTAAACCAAAGCGCAACAAATGCAGCACACTCACATATACAAACAGATAAATACGCTTTGAAACACTGTGAAAACTCATTAAGACGCATCACATTTTCAAAATCGATGGATTCTAAAATGATTTAAAAATCTGACCTGGCTCCAGCTAGCCAGAAAAGAGCCACACAGGAAACATTCAGCTGAAATTAAATGTGCTGGTTATAAGGCTGCAAAGTTGGTGGAAGAAACCCCCTACAGTGTTGCCTTACTGGAAGAAGGGACCTTGAAGCTTGGTGCGGACCTGGTCTCGTTTCTCCTCCTTCTGCTTAAGGTATTCTTTAAGCTTGTCTGTGGAGAAACACACTTTGGAGTGTCGGCCTTTGTGTGGGGCACGATTGGCACGCAGCCATGGGTTCTGGAGACACTCGGCAGCAGTGGGTCTCCCCCTGTATTCATGTTAGGATACACACATTAACGTAATTCACTAATACAACCTTTTACACAAATAATAGTTGGTTTGGTTTAAATAAAAAGAGAGACACACTCACCAGGATTTATTATTCAGGCTGCTCTTCATGAAGTTTAAGGCTCCCTCTGACAGACCGGGGTAACAGCGTCCAAACTGAATCTTCCCTTTTTTGATGTTTCTGTCTTGCTCCCAGCTGAGCTCTGCGTGGAACGGGCTGTCGGCACTCAGCCTAGTGAAGAGAAAAAAAAAAATACACATATATTATACAAAAATACATACAGTGTATCTCAGAAGTACAGAAGAGCCGGACAGTAGCATAAACATTTCATGATCCAAGGACTGAACTTATCAGCCTACATAACCAAAACTAAAACTTACATAATAAAACAGAATATTATTTAAAGAAAGAACACTTTGACTTTGTTCTGATAGCTAACCAAATTTATCAATTCACAGTAAATCATTTTTTAAATTGTAAAGTGTAAAGTAGAACGATTTTAATAAAACGAACATGGTTTTATACAAAATTCATTCAACTATTCAACGACTTTTACTGAAGCTCTACTTACATGATGAATAAGACAACTCCAATAGCCCAGACGTCAGTCTCAGGCCCGACACCCTGACCTTCCAGGATTTCCGGAGCTTTAGGAAGCACAATATAAACTGACAAAACAGACAGACACGAAACATTTTTCTTAAAGACTTGCTATTACGAGCAATGCCACATTCACTCACATGCTTTATTTTCCAAATAAGGAAAATGAGTCAAACCAAAAAGAAATGGATTGAAGTATAAGAATAAGAATGGACTTGGGTTTGTTAGGATATGGTAGCAAGGATCAGCTGAGGTAGATGAAGTTAGGCTGAATTATTTCCATCCATCAATCCGTCCTCCCTTAAAGAATGTGTACCTTTGCTGCGGCAGTCTGTTGAGACCATGACAGTCAAAGGTTTAGTACATTAGAAGAATCTGCAACAATGCAAGCATCAGAATCTTTTAGTTTGCCTTTTGAAATGAAGCAAGAAATACATCGGTACCTTTGCTCTCCGACAGGCCATGGATGTGCTCGATGTTGAGAGGTTGACCGGGTGTGAAGGACTGAGCCGAGCCCAGGTCAACTAGCTTCAGGTGGTTACAGTCATCCACCAGCATGTTGTCAGACTTCAGGTCCAGGTGGATGACCCGACGGCTGTGAAGGTAGTCGACTGCACTCAGAATCTGAACCAGCAGCTCTGCGACATGAGTCTCTGCATACAGATCTCTGACAGAGAACAAACACAGACAGATGGCATTAAGCTTAACCACAGTATGTGAGGGACTGCCACAAATGGCTACTGGTTGCACAAAAATAATCTTTTTGACATGTGTCTGAAGCTGGCTACAGATAATAATAATATAAAGACATTACAGTGATTAGTTACAGTAAGTGTCCTCTAGGCTCATCTCAATCATCTTCAATTGGTGTATAGTTTGATGTGTGTAGATGATCTCAAAACAACTGAAAAAGTATGTTAAAATTACATCAACATTGTCCATTAGATGACATTAAATCATTCTCTGTAACAACTAATTTAAGCCACAATTAAAGCAGCATTTCTCATCGGAAATCTGTTGCTTATTTTAGTTTTTTTTTTTTTCCTGTCTTCTTAGACTAACTAGAGCATCTTATTTTGGAATTACATAGTGATCAGTTCTGCCTGGATTATTTCTCCTACAGGCCCCTTAGGACAAAATAAGTAGCTGAAAAAGAGAACTAATATGGAGGCTTTCCACTTTAATGGACAAAGCCCCTTGATGAAATATTTGAGGAAATTCTGACTAGAAGTTGGCACTAGACCAAATGACTGGGACTCACCACTATTATAAGGAAATCTGGTAGCATGGCAAAAATGACACATGCATAAATCAGAGACATTTTTGATAAAATAAACTCTTTGTGTATAAATCCATACACAAGCTATCTGGTCCTTGTCTTATGTTTCTCAAGCCTTCCTTTACCTCACTGCTAGACTGTAGAGCAGCTCCTTGCCCGGACAGAGCTCCTCCACTAACACCAGGTAGCAGGTGGTGATGTAGGCAGTGTGCAGCTGCACCAGGTGGGTATGATGAAGCCTCCTCAGCAGTTGGTATTCCCTCAGCACTAACTGTCTCTGCTGTGCCTGGTAAGGGGTGATCTTGGCAGCAAACACTTGGCTGGTCTCGACATCCCTGCACAGGGTTATTACACTGAAACGACCCCTGAGAGAGAATCAAATAAAAGATGAAGAGGTACAGAGAATGGCCATAGTTTATGGCAAATTGGTGCCTAAGAGAAAGAGGGATGGAGGAGATGAAACTGTCCTTTTCCCAATGCATCTCCTGTGACAGTGAATAAGCAGGTAAAGAAAGGATGATGACTTACAGCCCAAAATGTAATCTTTATTTTACATTAAGGGTAAAAGAAGATGAAAAATGGTGAATATCAATACAAAACATCAGGTTCAATTCAGAAATATCACAATGTGTGACATACTTGAAAAACCTGAAGTCACACCTGTGTTTCAAAGTAAAAACATGATTATATGCAAACAGAAGTAAATACTACAGTAACAAAAAATATATTCATAAAAATCCCACCTGTTGATCTCAGAGAGGAAACTGTACTTGTTCTGTGTTGTCTGTTGTTCAGACCCAATGACCTTTGACCCCAGTGACTTAGTCTGGATGAGAGGAATGTGAGTCTCTGTACAAAAGAATAAATTCAGGTGAAAACACTGCAACCCTCCAGGTAGTAGCTGGTCGTACATTGCAGTAAATCTGTATGTTAAACACACCAAACCAGTGAGCCAAATTCCTGCCACATTTACCAAACCTGGTCTCAGATAATAATAAAAAAACAGTAGAAAAACTGTGAAAAATTAATGAATGAGATCACAAATGTGCAACAGCGAACATGCAATGTCATGTTTGAGAGTATTGTTTTTGCCTTCAGGATGAGTAGCCATAACAACAGGTGCTGATGCTTCACTGAAAGGTCCTGCTCCTGTCTTGGTGATGCAGCCCACCCTGAACACATAAGAAGCTCCTCTGGGTAAATCCTTCACCACATAGCAGCTGTCTGTCACCTCCTCTGACAGGACCGTCCATTGCCCACCTAAGGAGGCACACGACACATGAGTTTCACTGTAAAATCTACACTTACAGCACATTTGAATGCGCTTGCAGTAGATTTAAGCAATAATATTAGTGATGTTGTTGTGTAGGAAATAAAATGTCTGACATCAATTTGAAAGAACAAAAGAAGCATACAGCTTTGATAAAACTTACTGGGAAATAGCCAGTGTCAGTTGGCAAGATGCAGAAAAAACACTGTGCCAGGATAAGAGTAACACTGTGCCTTGCAAGCACACTAGTCTAGTCTTACAGAACTATTCTTCAAAGCCAAAACAGTCACACTACAGGGGTAGTGTTTGTACTGCACAAGCCTGATATAATTGGCTTGTGCAGTACAAACAGATATAATTTGGTATTTCTTAGTGTGGAATGATACCCTACAATAAATTCAGTATTGACTGCTTAAATTGTAGTAATCAGAACTTTCAAATATGTAGACAACAACTAATTTGGTTTTCTTTTAACACAAACCACTAATTTAATTTCTGTGCTGCTGTATCCTCTCTATGAACCCACCATCTGTACAATACTGCACACAGTAGGTGACAGGGTCACTAGACTGGACTGGTCTCCAAACCAGTAGGACTCCACCTCCCTCTAACTGGAGCACTTCAGCCTTGTTGGGTCGGACTGACACATCTGGAAATGATGGAGCAGAAAAAACAACCAGGCTTTTAGCAAAATGATGAAAGGATTTCAGACCATTTCAGACATAATCCACAGAATATAGTTTATTCACTACCTTTTGTCTTCTTGAATGCGGGTATTTTAAAAGAAGGCAAGAGTTTGGATGTTCTCTTTTTTGGACTCTCAAGACCAGTGCTACACTCTCTTTCAGGTGGGATGGGAGCTGATCCTTTTACTATTGGTCCTGTTATAAAAGAAAAACAACACAAAAAAGATTTGATTTTATAACATTACTGTCAAATGTAAAGGGTAGATGTACAATATAACATAACTGAGACTAGGGATGGTTCAGGTAAACTAAATTAAAGAAATAATTCGCTTGGATAACGTTTTTTTCTATAGCTTTTCTCCTTAATATTGTTGCTGATTGACATAATTTTCTGTTTAATGATAAAATAAAATTGGCCTAATTTGCAATAGCTCACCTCCTTTACTGACATCCTCCTTACTAGAAGACCTGGAAAACAGTTTGGTCAAGCTGGAGGCTGAAGCTCTCATTTTCTTCCTCAGAGACATGGTGGGCGTATCTGGCTTCATGATTTCTCCTAGCGTGGGTCCTAACTCTGCGTTCTCCAGCTGGGAGTACGAATGGCCAGTCCAGGACTGCCTGCGGAAGATCTTCAGCAGTCCCAGCTTGGGTGACTTTCCCGTAGGTGGCCGGGCTTCGAGGGCTGGAGCAGATGCATGCCTCTGTAGGCCATAGCCCTCCTTCTTGTCCCTGGCCCTGGGTGGCCTCTCTGGAGCCTGAAGAGAAGAGAGGCTGGGACTGGGGCTCGCTGTTAATGGAGTCCCAGGCTGACCTCTGCCAGATAAGTTGAGGTTGGAGCGGGTACGGTTACGTGGCGGTGCCTGGGGAAACGAGCTTCTGGGTTTCACTTCGTGGAAAGAACATGGGGATGGTGAAATCAGAGGTTCCCCCTGATCATCATACCCTTCACTCTCTCCTGATCTTCTTCTGAGATGACCCCGAGTCAGCTCCTCACAGGAGCCGAGTCTACTTGAAGAGTCTGAGCCACCATGCCCCAAAATAGACGATTCGGCCAGAGAACCCTGGGAGCCAGCCAATGTGTTGCCGTGTGTCTGCTCCCGATCCAGCCCCATTCTGTCTCCAGCAAGGAGGCTTGAGGGAACAGATGATCCACCCAGCATGCAGGCCCCTTGTATTGGAGCGACAGAGCCTCTTCTCCTTGTGGGTCGCCGAGGGGTCGGGATGGCCAGTGAGTTTCTCCCCGTCACTTCATCATCTGTGAAATCTTCCTTCAGACTTTGAGAGCCTTCTTCTTCACCTGACTTTGTGCGTTTGGGTGAGCTGGGAGATCGACGAGAATACTCATCAAGAGACCTGCTCCTCCTGTGAGGGGGTACATTGGTGTGGGCGAGGCCAACACCACTGTCGAAGGAACAGGACTTCTGCATGGTAGGCTGGACAGATCCCCGTCTCTGGCCACGATTGTTCTCTGTCTCATCCTCCACATATTCAATAAGAGGCTCGTTGAGACGTCCTGAAAAGCTTCTCCGGAGTGGTTTACGGCCTCTCTCCTGCTTTTTGGCCTGGAATTTGTCCCGTAATGTCATGTGTCTGGCAGACATGGGTGACAGCTGATGGGAGGTGCTGTAGAAAGTGCTCCGAATGACGCTACCTCGAGGGATACGACCTCCATCACTTCCCGAACCCTCATCCCCATCAGATAGGTAGAGAGATGGACTACTGTCCTTGCTGAACCTACGCTCCCTCTGAGGTGTCTGTTGGCACGACATATCTGATGATGCGACTGACTGCCTGCTTAGACTCCGCTCTAGCACACTCCTCCTTCCTAGCATCTCCCCATCCTCTTCCTCCCCTAATGTCACTTCCTCTTCCTCCTCTGCATCTAGGTGGAGTTTGGCAAAAGGCTCGGGGATCTGTGCTCTCTCCATTAAAGGATCGTAGTCCTCCTCGGTTTCTTCCTCCTCTTCAGTCTGACTGCAGTGCTGGAAAAAGTCCCAAGAGTCAGCTTCATCATACTCAGATGAGGAGCCACTGCTCATAGAGGTGCTGCTGTGTTCCCGGGGCTCGCGGGGTACTGTCACTGCAGTGTCTCTGAGAGGAGCGTCCAGCAGCTCAGGTAGGGGCCTCAACGTGAGAACTGACCCAATACAAGTCAAAGAACGCTGGAGGATAGATGAGAAAGATACTGGTGAAGAGATGTGTTTTATTTTAAGGGAATTATATAATGTACAGTGAATTCAACTCACGTAATCATTTAACTTAAATTAAATTACAAGTACTGCCTTTGGCCCCCAGAGGTTGTGTGTTCAATGAATAGCACAGGACAAGAGAGGTAACTCACCTGCCATTTCCTTTTTGAGATGAAGGCTTTCAAACTCCTTGTGTTTATTTCATCTGTGTCTTCTCCTGCATGTGCATCCTGAACACAGATACAAAGATGTGTGTTTAGATTTGTGTCTAAGTTATAGTTTTTGAATACAGTAAAGCTTGATTAAAACACCTAATGTGCCTCATACCTGAAGCCATTCGTGGCTTAAGCACTCAAACGCAGATGGTCGTTTCCTAGGTAGAGGAAAGGAAAGGATTGGGAGTGGTCAGCTATGTTGCACCTGTACTGACAATATTTTTTTTATTTAGATTGAATACAAATTACTGTAATGTGAAAGGAGTGCCACCACAGCCACAGATAATTATCAGCCTGGTAAATGTAGTTTTATGCATTTTTACATTTTATTTTGCATTATTGGGTTTTATTTATTTATTATGGGTTACTTGTGGAATTAGAAATGACAATGTCACTCTTTTGTCACTGGACTGGATTGATTGGCAGTGTGAGCAATAAGAAAACAGGTTCCCTACTCTGGATCTGGCTGAAGGAGCATGTGGAGAAAGTTCTGGGCCTCCGGGCTCCTGTACGTGACATCAGGGGCATCCCAGTTCAGGGTGCCCTCCCCCACCCTAAGCAGAGTAGCACGGTCCGTTTCACCCGCAAAAGGGCATCGGCACACCAGACTATCAAGATAAGTATAAAGTGTGATGTAAATAGTCGACAGAAACTCAGGACTTATATGCTTTTGGATATACTGTATTGGAGATTTGAGAATATCACCAAAATTGCAGTGATACATACCATATGTAGGCTATAACACCTACAGACCTGACAGAGAAAAAGGGAAATATTATTGTAATGTTATTTTAGTCTGTACACAGTTTGGTATACATTTTTGCTTCTATTTAAATATCTGTGTAATACTTGTATTAAAAATGGTCTAAAACATCTGGAAATTCATCAGGGAGAACTCCTTAACTCCTACTTAAACTCACCAAATATCAGTGGCCACAGTTACTGGCTCTAGGTGAACAATTTCAGGGGCAACAAACTCTGGGGTACCAATCATACTGTATTGGTGTCTGGAGGCGTCTATTTCTTGGCAGAAGCCAAAGTCACAGATCTTGATCTCATCTCGGGGTGGATACACCATTAGGATATTATCAGGCTAAAGGGAGTGTAAATAACAATGAAGTTAAGAACTGCACAAAAAATAATGGCGCTGTCAATAATGCAATGTTAACTGGACCAGAAGACTTACTTTAATGTCCAGATGTAAAATGTTCATGCTGTGAATGTGACCAACTCCTTCAAGGATTTGCTGGATGTATGACTGAACCTGAAATAAAATTAAGAATATTAATCAAGAGCCATAAATACTTATATGTATGCAAAATATATTTTTGTAGGGAATAAGCTCGTACCTCTCTCTCTGTGACTGATCCTTTCAGTAATAAATGGTCCAGAAGTCCATGAGCACAGCACCTAGAAATAGTGTTAAAGAACTCTTAACTGAATACCAACAGACTGCCACCTTGAGGAAAAAGGAGTGAACATTTTACAGGGGTTGGCAGGATACATTTCTGTGATCAGCACCAGAGTGCGTCTGGTGCAAAAGAAGTCCAGCAGACAGGCCACTCTGGGGTGAGCCAGACGGGATAGCAAGTCCCTCTCCTGGAAGGCCCTGGTCCGAGTGCTGCTCCGCAAAGGCAGAAACTTGGCAGCAAACACTTCACCTGTCCTTCTGTGGACTACACGCTTCACAACCCCAAAGGTTCCCCTAAAACGCAGAGAAATAATGTTGATGACATCGAATCTTAACAGGGCTCATGGGCAGGTTGGACTACATAAATATAAAGTACAGGTTCACCTTCCAATTTCTTCATGGACATCATAGACAGAGAATAACTTCCTTCTCTTCCCCAGTTCCACCTCTCTCTCCTGCCGCTCCAGTGGACCTGCAGAGAAAACAAAACCTGTGAATAAAACAGGTCAACCACTTGGACCAGGATTTTGTGACATGTTTTACACCTAAGCTTCGTTGACCATTAGCCTTTGGTATAGGTTTGCAGTTAGATCTGATAAATTAAACAATATCTATATAACTAAAGTAAGGATGCATGGCAGCACTGCTGTTTTCTCACCTTCATCCACTGTCAGCTGAGCCTGACACGAAGCATGGCCAGAGTCATTGTAGGCGAAGCAGATGTATATGCCACTGTCCTCACCCTCAGGGCACACTATGGTTGCTGAGCAGCGGGCACCATGCTGTATCATCTCCACATTCTCACTGGCTGCAAGCAGCTCTCCATCCTCCAATCACAGAGCAAAGAGTAACGTTTTAAAAGGTCAATTCTAGTCAACATTTTGTCTTGTGTTTAACAGTAAACCTGTTTTGTGCTTTATTCATTATCAGAGGAGGCAGTTTGACTGTAAACTATTCAGTATTCTACATAAAAAAACACAAAATAGAGAGAGAAAAAAAGATTTAATATCAACAGACACATTTTTTTTTAAATCAGTGCCATTTATGGTATCCATTTTGGTAGGTTTCCCTGGTTATATATATAATATAAAACAGTATATACAAAAGTAAACTATATGGTATATCAAAATCAACCCTTCAGCAGGGAACCACTGCTCTACAATGTTCTTACCTTGTACCACTGTATCTTAGGAGTAGGTCTTCCTGTGATAATGGCAGTAAATGTAGCTGGTTGGCCAGGCTCGACACACAGGTCCTCAGCAGGTACCTGGATGGAGGGAGGAGCTGAAGAGGAGATCAGATCAGTCACTAATCCCACAAACTTTGGCAGAAGTCAAACTCTTATGCTTAAAATACAAGACTACCATCTGTAATTTCCTGCATTGACTCTGAGATGTAGATCTCTTCCTCTTCGTCCTCTAGGTAACGCAGAGGCTGCTGTACTGCCTGACCCATGGATGTGGAGGCAGGAACAGCCTCTTCAGTACTGCACTCAGCTCTGGAGGCAAAGATAAGATAAAAGGAAAAGCTGATTATCAAATACTACTGATCAGTTCAGGGTAATTATCTATTCACAAAACTATTTAATGGATGCTAAGATTTACATTATAACTCTTTTACCATCAACTTCTAATCTCACAATTGTTAAAGTATTAAATCGAGACTTTAACCAAACACAGATTAAATTTACTTGAAAAGCTTGATGCCTATTCTCCAAATTAAGGTCATGGAGGTTAATATAGAAATATAGTTGGTGGTGCAAAACTTACTGTTCCGGATGTCCGGGAGGGAAGAGCATCTTTGCAATAGAAGTGGGGCTGAAATCAGTCTGCAACCATTTCTTCACAAAGGCAGTGGACCAACCCTCTGAGTCTGCATCTATAAAACCCAAAATGCCACTGAGCAGGAATTTATGGTTTAGACACTTGAAATAAATTATGTATTTTTCATATATTTTAAGGAATTATTGTTGTTGCCTTGACTGCACCGCTAGTATACTGAATTATTGGAAAATGAAAAGTGAAAAAGTACATTACCTTACATACCAGGAGCAGTAATAATGCATTCCTTACCTCAGTACTTGAGCGTTTAACCCCACTAACCCAACACATCAACAAGACATGGGTGCATGCCCACTCCTGCTTGGAGGTAAAGGGGACACCTGCCCAGCACATGACCATCTTGTGTTCGTAGGAGTGAAGAGTTAGCTGGGCATGCGTTGGCAGGAGGAGAAAGGGGAATGTCAAGTGGTTATTTGTTATCATGACAATGATGACTTACATGGAACGGTCCATGTGAGGAACTTCCTGCTTTAGGACTAGTATAGGGAAGATGGAAAAAACATGTAGGTTATGGACAATGGAAGGGCAAATATGGTGAACCGGTGGCAAAACTCCAGAAAACAAATACACCAGTGAGTGAGACAGCTATAGTCCATATAAAGAATATTATATGTCGAACTTACTGTACGTTTTCATAAACATCTAATCATTTCATTGAATGTAGCTGAATTATTCTACTCTACTATACTTCTTTTATTACTGACATTGCTGACTCTATGTAATTCTAACAGTGGCAAATAAATAAATACAAGCACAGCTGGAAAATCCCTTCATAATATAGAACAGTAATAGGGGTACTTGATATCTTTGTATTTAAATTAGTGCTGGTAGTTTATGGCACCTCAAGGTCTTGCTGACTTTTGGGTCCTAATGTCACTCGTAGTGGAGGAAAATAATCTAGTCTCTTCCAACTCATGCCCTCTGTGGAAAGTGGAAACATGATGAAAAACACAAAAACATTCCATACAATAAATGTATCAATGTCTTTTCATGGGTGAAGATGCTGGGAAGTGCAGTATGGTGTCTATGTTGAATGGTAGCCACTAGATCCTGCTGGGTCATGGCAATAAAAGGTTGTTAGAAATAGTTATTGGTAGGTCTGAGGGTTCTCTCACATGACTTAACAACTCTCAAAGTGTGAACTTCACACAGAAGTGACAGTGTGGCTCAACACTAGTTAGACAAAACAGATGAAGTGACCGGTGAAACATGTTCAAGACCAAAGTGCAAAAGTTACAATCAGTACATGGATTAGGTGAGAGATGGTTATGTTTAAGAATTGGTTTAATGTGGTTAAGTTCATTATAGCGGTAGGGTTATAACAGAGATATACATCGTGCACTTAGGAAGTATGTATTAGTCATCACATGCTGCCTTTTAAGTTAAACAACCTTGACAATCACTTAACTCAAATGGCAATTTCAGAAATAGAAAACTGAGAAAAGGAAAAAAAACACGCAGAGTAGGTGTGCTTTTAGCTAATGCATACCACCATGTAATACAGTTAATAGTTGTGAATCCACATTTACTGCACTTTGCTAATGGAAATCTGTTTGGCATTCATGCACAGGCAGCAGCCCATACCATAATCCCTAGGGATCTAGTGGCAACTGGTATGGTAGTCGGAACTATTTATGATATGAGTGTGTGTGAAATGGGAAAAAGGAAAATGTGAGTAAAATCTCAAAATGACCATCACCTGGATAGAATGAATGAATGGTAGTGGTTGAAAGTGGAAATTGTTGCAGTTTGATGTGAAGAGATGTCATATGATGTGATGCAAAAACGGTGACAGGATCAAAGGTGAGGTGAACTTAAAGTAAACTGGACAATGGCATGTGCTTCATCCCTTCTCAAACACAGCTGAACTAGTGAAATTGTCCACATGAAAACCCTATTGAGGGTTTCCATTGTGTGTGAAGGATATTTACCTTCGGCAGGTCTGGCCATCCTACCTTTAGGAGGTAAGTCCTGTGGTTGGTCGTTCTCGATCTCAATCGGGGGTACATAAGCGGGGCACAGCCCTGCCTTGCACTTGACACAGCCAAACTCATTCCAGAGCTAAACAAAACAAAACATTTGACGTAATGTATCTTAAAGAAAGATAATACTAACTTGTCTTGTTACATGGTAGACTTTATGGATATGGCTTTTATACCTCACACTCATACTGTCCGATATCTGCCTCGGTTGCACTGATGACCGTCAGACACAAGATCCCACTCCGAGCATCATTCAGAATGGAGTACTTTTGCTGGTCAGTTAACTCTCTGCCATCTTTTAACCACCTGCCAAACCCAAAGATGGATGTGTTTGACAACACACAATGACCAAAAAATCATCCAGCAACTATTGTGGTCACATTTGCTCTGTGCTGACAGACCTGATTCGTGGTAAAGGAGTAGTCAGTGTGGAGCAGGTAAACTGTATATCTTCTCCTTCTATCAGACAAGCACTCTCTAACCGACACACAAATCTGGGTGGAGCTGGAGAGAAAAAGAAATACATTAAAGTGTCATCTGTGCCCCTATAAGTAGGCATAGACCAATAGTGGTAGATGTAGTAATAGTAGATCTAATAGAAGTAGCTGTCACAATCGTAAATGTAATAGCAGCTGTAACAGTAGTAGCAATGGTAGTAGTAACTGTAGTTGGGGTATTGATCATTGTATTAGTAGGTCGAAATTAGAAACCACAGTAGCAGTAGTAGTAGTTGTATTAAAAACAATAATATTAAGTGTAATCATAGTGGTACTACTAGTGATAAACGTTTAGTAATAGTACTTGCACAAGCAGTAGAACTAGCTCTGGTAATAGTAGTTTTAAAGTTGGAACTGCTAGAAGTAGTTTTGGCACAATAACTCATACTGAACAACAGTAGTAGTAGTTTGTGGGTTTATAATTTAATTGTAACCATAGTACTAATATGATGAACACATGTACAGTCGTAGTATAGATGTCCTGTGTCCCTCTGTGACAGTACATGTAATCACCTACAAACACAGACATGGCTCTGGACTGAGACAACACTCAAGTGGTTTAGATGCATCCACAGACTCACCCTGCACCGCAACCTTAGCCAGAGTGCCAGCACTGCCCATGGAGCTGTTAGCATAGCAGGCATACTGTCCAGAGTCCTCCGCAGTGAGACTATCCAGAATGAGACTGCAGGTGCCTGAACGGTCTGCTGTGATGATGTGACGGGGGTCATCCTCTAAAGGAAGGCCATCTAAGAGGTGGACAACAGATTTGTAACCACTGTATCCAAAAAGTGGATAATACCTGCTTCTTACAGATACTGTAACACTATGGTACATTTATACAGTATATACATAATTTAATTAGTTATTTCTGACCTTTGAGCCAGCTGATCACTGGTTTTGGCAATCCTGTGACTTTACAGGTCAGTTTGATTGTCTGTCCTATCTTTGTTGTGCAGTCAGACAGCAGTGACTCAAACACTGGTGGGCCTGTTGATAGACACAAACACAGACAGTGTTGTGATTCATTGTCAAAATCTAATTCCCTTCCCAAAGAAACACTTACTGTTAGTTGGCAGGCTGGACTTTTGCTGTAGCTCCTTCAGGTCCTTCAGCCATGAGAGTTTACCCAGGGAGGAGCGGCCCTGCAGTGTGTACCTCCGCAATGAACCCCTGTGCTCGTGCCACAACCCCCAAGACTTTTCATCTCCACCCACAGTCTCCTTTATTTCCACATCATTCAGCTGGGTAGGTTGCACAGGTGAGGAATGGGAAAGACAAGTGAGTGGGAAGATGAAGTCAGGAGTCAATTGTCATCACATGTGGCCAAATGTGGCGGTGGCCGTAACAGTGGCATTAAACAGCTAAGTTTTCATGTGGCTTCACCTACTGTTGGGAGGAAGAATAAGTAAGCAAGCAGAACAGATCTTACCTTCATTTTGTTCTTGAATGTGTAGGTGTCACTGTTCATACTGGTGTCTCTTTTTAGTTTACACAGTACAATGCATTCCTTGAAGAGAAAGACTTGTCTCTGATGCCCTCTAGAGGACGTCTTACTTTCTGGAGTTTCCTCCCACACCGTGAAGACTCCCTGAAGTGAGGACCATACAGTAAGATGACCATATGTGACTTGATGCGTTTCTATCTGAGTGAATGTTACGGAGATATACTATTTAGGCAGTATTATGGAACAGAGTTAATCGTCTTGCACACTTTCCTGGTAAAACCGAGTAATTTCAGAGCAAATGTAGAGCAAAAAACCCCCAAAACACTTAAGTCTGTCAACTTCTGCTCACAGCATTATTAGTAGTTGTGACAAAAACTGAAACGAGCCAGTCATCTGTAGTTACCTGTCGCACAGGCTCGCCCAGTGCAGTTAGAGGAGCTGGGTAGTTCTCAATAAGGGACACCTGGTGCATGTTGTCAGACCTCCATGGTAGACAGGACACCATGGAGAAGGCATCCTCCAAGAGACAGCAGCTCTGGCCACTTTTGGCTTTGTTCTTGATTAGCTCCTGCCAAAAGCATATTTATTTACATCCCAGGCATTCAGCTGACACACTTTCAAACAACAACAACAGTAGGACAAGCTTAAATCCTTTTGTTAAAATAATACAAGTTGAATTTATATATACTATAAATATATAATATAAAATATATATAATTGCCACTATCAAACTGACATTAATGTTTAAGATTTCAGACACATAAAATAAACCGTATGCTGACCTTCAGTAAAGCCTGGTAGGTTTGAATCCTCTCCACTGGTCGCTGGAGGAAGGTAAGGACATCCATGACAGGAGCCTCAGGCTTACCAGATTCTGTTAACTCCTGAAGTGTAATGAGCAACATATTAAAGAAATAAAAAACATTAGATCAGTGTAATAATGTTGATATTAGGCATTATTCATTTTAGTGTTCATGTTTAAATTTGTGGATACCTTGAAATACTGTTGGATAGTCTTGTCGTTAAGGCAGGCCTCTGCTTGTGCTTGTCCAACCATGTAGTGAAGATACTTCTCAAAGTCCTCATTGTGCTTGATCAGATGCATGGCCACATCGTCGTCTGTGGCACACTCTCTCAGACCGGGAAGGAGGGACCTGAGAAGACATATTTTATTATTTATTTGCATATTCAGTATCATATCATACATGAGTACAGTTTATTTCTTGTGGATGTTATTACCTCTCATGTAAAAACACAATGTCCTTGATATTCCTAAAAATTATCTCTTTTTGGTTGAGGATGTTAATGGGGACGTGGCGGCTGGAGTCCAGATAATTTAGTTGGTGAGAGGTGAACATCTTCATCTCCTTTACAAACTCCTCTTCTCCATCAATCAGGCCTTGGATCAGTTGGCTGAAGATTAAGATAATTGAATGCAGACTGGAAGGATTTTCCATCATCACATAAGTGCAAGAAATAACCAAATAGTAGAAATAATAATAAAGATATGTACAATTTTACAAAAAACATTAATTACACAAATGGATGTGTCCAATAAGAATATATATAAATCCAAATAATAGTGCACATCCCTCCCTGTTTGTTGAATCTGTCAGTATATAATAGAGAATGACCGACCTCAGAGCTCTCCTGTACTCTTCTCCTGTGGACCCAATTCCATCAAGATCCTCTTGAGGCACTCTCAATTGTGGGAGGGTCTCCTGTTGGAAAGACCATTATGTATTTTAATAAAATCCTTTTCATTTCTCTTGTTATTGACAGTACAACATTGCAAACTAACAGTATATTATCATTGTTTCAGAACATGTTTGGATGTATACATTGTACCTTTCTCTTCTTCTCCAGGTAGGCTGGACACATCCATCCCTGTCGAGCAGGGTTGGTTTTGGTGGGTTTGGTCCTCACCAGCCATCTGTCAGGATGAACAGAATCCAGGACCTCTACAAACTGGCCTTCCTTCAGAATAAAACTGTCCCTATTTCCACTGATGGGACTGCAGTCAGCTCGGGCCACATACATTTCAAATGTCTGGGGTGAAAAAAGCAAACACATAGCTTATACACTCAAATGGGAAATATTACTTTTACAGATTGTATTTAAATTAAATCACATTTATTACATAAATATTTAAAGAGTCCACAAATTAAAAAAAGTACCTCTTGTCTATCTTCTTCTCCGTCTGATTCAGATCCAGAGACGGTACTAGTTAAGGGTGTGTGAGCACGGTGGTGTTTAGGAGATGGTGTCCTCAGTCTACCTTCATGAGCTCCTACAAATTAGAGGGGAAGATATATATGTTGTACTTGATATTAAAACCTAATAAGAACTAGTGGATATCAATTGAAAACAGCAGTGAAATAAAATCAACATTGCTGACCTTTGATTTTCAGTAGTTTTTTAGGAGGCTGTGGAGGAGCTTTCTGTTCCTTATCATCTTTTACAGGAACTTGCTCCGCTGCTTTTGTCCCTTCCCTGTAACAGTATTCATAAATATTTTGGGTATTTTTATGAGCTTAATATAAAATATTAGCAATAAAAATGTAATCTTCTCCCTGCCCTCTCACCTTGGTACAGCTGGACCCGTCTCAACAGGTTCCATCATATCCGGAGCTGTGTCATAATCAGAGGGACTCGACACTGTTGAAAGCATAAAGTCATAGGTATTGTACTGTGATAATAGGGCCAAGAAAATCCCATTTTTAGTGATTACAGTTACATGTTACTCACTTGAGCTGGCAGCAATGAGTGAAGATCCTCTCCTCTCTTTCAGTCTCATCTGAGCGTCCTGCTGCTCCGTCATGTTGTAGGCCTCCCACAAAGAGACACTCACACTTTCTACATAGTTTGCAGCATGTGTAGCTGTAGTGGGTATCTGGGTTTGAGCCTCAGGAAGATTCTGAGCCTGTGTTTTGGCCTGGGCCTCAGGCTTTGGCTGGGCGAGTTGCAAAGGAGTTATGGCTGCAAGGGGTGGGTGTACAGGCTTCTGGACTATCGGAGTGGGCTTCTGAGGCTGTACTACGGTAATGTTTCCATTGTAGGAGGTCACACCAAACTTATTCACCACCTCACATGTATAGATTGCACTGTCATTGGTAGTCAGGTTTTTGATTACCAGTGTACATACGCCACTCTCTGTAGTCTGAATACGGAATCGATGGTCATTAGTGATTTGTTGGCCATTTTTTAGCCAGTGCACTGTGCTGGGTTTTCCCTCTACAGTGCACACTAGACTGACTGTACCATGAAGATCTGCATTCTGGTTCTTAAACACCTCTTTAAAGACAGGCCGCATGTCTTTGCGGGTTTTGTAGCCTTTGAAGGCAGCTTGGATCTTGACTGCAGCTTCTTGCAGTTGTGGTTCATCCTCAATGTTGATGTCAATCTCTGGTGTAGCATCCTTTGGTTGTTGGGCCCTCTGGGGTACAGTAACTGGAGGAAGGGTAAAGGTTTGGTCAACAGAAGAACCAGCGGACTGGACATTCCTGTGGGTCGCTGGTATCTCAGTCAAAGCCTCTGAGAAAGTTTCATCTTCAGAAATGTAGAGCAGAGGAATGTCTTCTGTCATCTTTATTTGCTGTTCTTCCTCCCTTCTCCTTGGCTCAACCGCCAGTTTCATTTCCTGGTCCACTTCAGGTTCTTTCCTCATGGGTTTCACTGGTTGTTTGATTGGCTGTTTGACGTCCGCGCCCTTCTCTGCAGTTTTCACCGGTTGCTTAATTTTCTCATCTATCTCAGAGTCTGTTGTTACTGATTGTTTCCTCGCAGATCTTGGTTTCACTTCAACCTCTTTTTTCAAAGGCCCAATTGACTGTTTAATTGGCTGAGCATCTGATGTTTTCACCACAACCCTTGTCGTTTGTTGATCGTCCTGATCTGTCTCTGTGTCCCTTGAATATTGCTTTTCCATTGCCCCCTTTGCTTTGCTTTTTATCCTCATAGGTGGTTTTGGAGGGGTGAATTCAGCCTCTTTTTCTAAAGTTTTTTCATTTTTTTCTAGTGACTGTTTGTCCTCTGTAGACACTTTCTGTTTCAAATTGTCTCTCTGTTTACGGTCATCTTCAGAATCATTTACAGAAGGCTTTATTGATTGGATACTGATATCCTCAGTTTCCTTTGGAACATATTTAAGTGGTTCCTTGCCCCCTGTTACCTTTCCTTTATATCTTACTGGTGGTTTAAAAGGTTCCTCTTCTATTTTGTCTACTTCACCCACCTTTACCGTAGACTTCACTTGTTCCTTTATTGTTTCTTTCCCCATTAACTTCTCTAGTGGTTTCACAGGCTGTTTTTCATCCACACCGTTTTTCCACAGCTCTGTTCCTGAAAAGGTTTCCTTCCTCTCAACTTCACTGCTTTTCTGTGATGGCTTTCCTAGTTGTTTTGACCCCTGTTCAACTTCATGTGCCTTTTTGAGACATATTAGTGGCTGTTTCTTTTGTTCAAGCACAGTGTCTCCCAGAATTCTGTCTGAGTGACTCTCTAACTCCCTTCCTTGAAGTCTTGTCTCCATGAAAACTTCTCTCTCTGTTTCCAAAGGCATTGGTGGCTCTTCCGCCTCTCTATCGACCCCATAGTCCTTCTCCAAAGGTCTCATTGTCTTGTCAACTTTCTTGTACAACTCAGTGTCTTTCTCCTTGTGCCCCTCCAGTTGAGTTACATTCTGTGCAACATCTTTCTCCATAGACCTTGCAGGTTGGATGCCCTTTTGGTCTTCATTATTCTCCCTCAGCAAAGACTGTTTTAGGTCAAACATTGGCTCCACATCTTTTTCTAAACTTGCAATAGATGCTTTCCTATTAGCTCTCTTTTTGGGCTCTGGAGGAACAGGCTTCTCATTCTCTGGAGTAGGAGTTGGCTTGGAAACAGTGCCCTTTGCTCGAGGCAGTATTGTAGGAGGCTCTATCTTTGGAGTTGGTTGTAGTGCTAGACAAGAGATTGAAGAAAAATATAACTGATTTATGGGGGGTGGAGGTTGAACAGAAAAGAACACGAGTAAACTCATCTTATTCATGTAACTTTGGCAATTAGGTATCAAGATGCACATACCTTTCACTGACACAGCTGCAGTAGTCTCTGCGCTTCCTGCTTGACATGTGTAAATGCCACTGTCCTCAGGTTTGATCTCTTTGATGTAGAGCCGGAGGAGGCAGCCATCCTGCTTGATCTCATACTTGCTGTTAGCTCTTAGTGGCAGCTTGTTCTTCTTCCACTGTACGGACACTCCAGACTTAGACACTTCACAGCACAGGGAGGCTGTAGCTCCCTCTTCAGCTTCTATACTTTGTAATTCTTTGTTGAAAAATGGAGCAAGCTCTAGGTAGGCGGGATAGAGTGGACCAAAATATTAATTGAGAAAGAGCCAGACAAGACACCAAATATGATTTTTAAATAGATTTTGTTTTCATGGTTTGATTTGGATTATATATTAAATGTGCTTGATAGAAGGAGTTTGCAACAGTTAACACTATCACATTTGAGTCTGAAAATTACGGTATACCTCCCTGTCATTGAGAACTTGAGAGGCAATACAGTAAAATGTTCCACAACACCCAGGTGTACACACCTTTCACTGTCACAGTTGCAGTGGTCTCTGCACTTCCTGCTTGACATGTGTAGCTGCCACTGTCTTCAGGTTTGAGCTCTTTGATGTCCAGCTGGAGGAGGCAGCCATCTTGTTTCATTTCGTACTTCCTGTTAGCTCTCAGTGGCAGCTTGTTCTTCTTCCATTGTATGGACACTCCAGGCTTAGATAACTCACAGTACAGGGAGGCTGAACCTCCCTCCTCAGCCTTCACACTTTCCAAGCATTTCTTGAAGAATGGTGAGAGCTCTGGGAAATGGGTGCAGATTGGAAAAACATAATCACACATTTTCAATGTAACTGGAAAATGTATAAAACCTAACTGGAAAAGGACAAAATTGTATTTTAAAGAAAAACAGTATCAAGACTTTTCTTATGATCTAGGTTGGTTTGCAATATGAGCAACATAATATGTACAAGAAGTTTTAGATAATCATAGGAAAGTACTTTAATTTTGATTATGTCATTTTTTTTTGTACATTTTTAAAACAGGATTTTTCATTTCTATGAAAATTTCCACATATACACACCTTTCACTGTCACAGTTGCAGTGGTCTCTGCCATTCCTGCTTGACATGTGTAGTTTCCACTGTCCTCAGGTTTGAGATCCTTGATGTGGAGCTGGAGGAGGCAGTCATCTTGTTTCATCTCAAACTTCCTGTTAGCTCTCAGTGGCAGCTTGTTCTTGTTCCATTGTACAGACACTCCAGGTTTAGACAGCTCACAGCAAAGGGAGGCTGTACCTCCCTCCTCAGCCTTCACACTTTGTAAGTCTTTCTTGAAGAATGGAGGAAGCTCTGTGGAAACCAAGGGGGGAAATGTCTTTAGCATGTGTTTTTCATTGTAGAAATGCTGCTTGAGAGATTACCAAACGTGGACCAAACTGGGTTTTGTCAAGACTACCTACGTGTACATACATGGTTGATTGGTGGGAACTGCTATTTTAGAAATTACAATGAGTCCCAGAAAGTTCAGACAGTCACAAAAAAACAATATCAACATTACATTACTTGTCTGTGGCTTGAGAGTATGTTGATATAGTAAAATATTCAAATGCACACACCTTTTACAGACACAGTTGCAGTGGTCTCTGCACTTCCTGCTTGACATGTGTAGCTGCCACTGTCCTCAAGTTTGAGCTCTTTGATGTGAAGCCGGTGGAGGCAGCCATCCTGCTTGATCTCATACTTGCTGTTTGCTCTCAGTGGCAGTTTGTTCTTCTTCCATTGCACTGACACTCCAGACTTAGACAGCTCACAGCACAGAGAGACTGTTGCTCCTTCCTCAAAATCAGCACTTCGCAAGTCTTCCTTGAAGAATGGTGGGAGCTCTGGGAAAATAAGGTAAGGCATTGTTAGAAAAACATGGGAAAAGGTTTGAAACCTGACTGGAAGGGGACTAAATTGTCTTTGATGATAAATACAGTATGAAAACTCTGTAACTTATTTATAGATGGGTGGGAGTGTAATATTAGCAGCTCAGAACATACCAGAAAGTTTAGGCAATCTTCAGTGCTTAAAATGTTGGCATGTGATTGAATGCATGCATTGCTAACACTGAATTTCTTATTGCCAATGCACATACCTTCCACTGACACAGCTGCAGTGGTCTCTGCAGTTCCTGTTTGACATGTGTAGCTGCCACTGTCCTCAGGTTTGAGATCCTTGATGTGGAGCTGAAGGAGGCAGCCATCCTGCTTCATCTCATACTTCCTATTAGCTTTCAATGGCAGCTTGTCCTTCTTCCATTGTACAGACACTCCAGGTTTAGACAGCTCACAGTACAGGGAGGCTGTAGCTCCCTCCTGAGCCTTCACACTTTGTAATTCTTCGTTGAAGAATTGTGCAAGCTCTGCAACAATGAGTATGGATGGGAAAAGAAACATCATTAAACATTGTAGGATTCAAAGAATGCTTGAGACACAATATGGACATTATCAAGCCTTTCAACCAACTTACAATGTAGATGGTGAAAATGCAACAACAGAAACTTAACACATTCAAGAAAGTACAGAGAATTTTGCCAAATGCACAAACCTTTTACTGTCACAGCTGCAGTGGTCCCTGCACTTCCTGCTTGACATGTGTAGCTTCCACTGTCTTCAGGTTTGAGATCCTTGATGTGGAGCTGGAGGAGGCAGCCATCTTGTTTCATCTCATACTTCCTGCTGGCTCTCAGTGGCAGCCTGTTCTTCTTCCATTGCACTGACACTCCAGGCTTAGACAGCTCACAGCACAGAGAGGCTGTAGCTCCCTCCTCAGCCTCCACACTTACTAACTCTTTCATGAAGAATGGAGGAAGCTCTAGGAAAATAGGCAAGAAAAAACAGAATTGTACATCTATAATGTAAAGGGAAGAGTACTTCAAACCTCACCAGAACAGAATTTGTACAGGTTTTTTGGAAAACCTATTTTCTAAGTGGGCAGGTTTACCATAATACAGTTGAGTGGCATAACATAATGACTACCACATAGACTGCAGAGGTACAAGTATTGTACAATAAAATGCAAGTACTTCTAATACAGAATTCTCCAAACATAGTTGACACACCTTTTACTGCCACAGTTGCAGTGGTCTCTGCATTTTCAGCTTGACATGTGTAGCTGCCACTGNNTTTGAGATCCTTGATGTGGAGCTGGATGAGGCACCCATCCTGCTTCATTTCATACTTCCTGTTAGCTCTCAGTGGCAGTTTGTTCTTCCTCCATTGTACAGACACTCCAGGCTTAGACAGTTCACAGCACAGGGAGGCTGTAGCTCCTTCCTCGGCTTTCACATTCTGCAGTTCGTCTTTGAAAAATGGTGGGAGCTCTGTGAAATTTAAAATATTTAGGGAGTAATTAGGGTGTTTTATTATAACAGAAATAGCTTTTGAGACAGTATCAAGTTAAGGCTAAATATGATGTAAAAAATTTTAGTTACACATGAGAGAATCTGTGCTCCACTAGGAAACACTTCCGCAAGTTCAGATGATACCAACTAATTATCTAAAAAGGTTTTTTATGATTTAAACCTTGCTGACACTGTAATATTTACTATGCAGATATCCAAATGTACAAACCTTTCACTGACACAATTGCAGTGGTCTCTGCACTTCCTGCTTGACATGTGTAGGTGCCACTGTCCTCAGGTTTGAGCTCCTTGATGTGCAGCTGGAGGAGGCAGCCATCTTGTTTCATCTCATACTTCCTGTTCGCTCTCAGTGGCAGCTTGTTCTTTTTCCATTGCACTGACACTCCCGGCTTAGACAATTCACAGTACAGAGAAGCTGAACCTCCCTCCTCAGCCTTCACGCTCTGCAATTCTTCTTTGAAAAAAGCCGGGAGTTCTGGGAAAGATAGAGCGGTAAGATGTTTGGTTTAATAGAAGAAACGTTTCAGACATTAGCAAGTAAGGGCAAAATAAGAGTAGAAATTGTGTTAAAGTTTTTGTAGCTACCTATGTGAAATATGCTTTCGCTCCATATTATAACAAATCATATGGAGTTTCAGGAAGCTTTCATTGCCACAAAAAGCACTGAAAAAAATAGATTCAGTCCTCTCTATGACATGCCATGCAAATCTTCAAATGCACACACCTTTCACTGACACAGCTGCAGTGGTCTCTGCACTTCCTGCTTGACATGTGTAGCTGCCACTGTCCTCAGGTTTGAGCTCCTTGATGTGCAGCTGAAGGAGACAGCCATCTTGTTTCATCTCGTACTTCCTGCTGGCTCTCAATGGCAGCCTGTTCTTCTTCCATTGCACTGATACGCCAGGTTGAGACAGCTCACAGTACAGGGAGGCTGCACCTCCCTCCTCAGCCTCCACACTTCTTAATTCTTTCTTGAAGAATGGAGGGAGCTCTGAAAAAAAAGGGTTGGCAGGGACAAAATTATATATCTTTATCATAAGAGGTACATGTGTGAGATGTCACCACAAAAAGATACAAAGCTTTTTGTTATTTTAGTTTAGCATAATAGTACATGCAGTATTTGTAGATTCACACAATCACAGGAAATTACCTGAAAGTCACTGCATTTGACGCTAGTATGTGGGCATAGAATGCCTTCAGTACTGACAACAAAGTGTACTGATTAAGTTACATTTGGGTGGGAATTGCTATGTTGGAAAATGCAATGAGTTCCAGGAAGTTCACACAATCACAGGAAAATATCTTAACTGACATATACATTACTTCTGTGCAGGTATAGATATAGTGACATTTGCAGTACACTGAATTATGTTGTGTGGTTAAATGCACGCAGAGCCAACACAGTTGTTCACTGCCAAACGGACATACCTTTCACTGACAAAGTTGCAGTGGTCTCTGCACTTCCTGCTTGACATGAGTAGCTGCCACTGTCCTCAAGCTTGAGCTCCTTGATGTGAAGCTGGAGAAAGCAACCATCTTGCCTCATCTCGTACTTTCTGCTGGCTCTTAGTGGCAGTCGGTTCTTCTTCCATTGAATCGGCACTCCGAGTTTAGACAGCTCACAGTACAGGGAAGCTGAACCTCCCTCCTCAACTTCCACACTCTGCAATTCTTCTTGGAAGAATGGTGGGAGCTCTGGGAAAGGGGGATGAGGATTTAAAGACATTTGTTGTAATAGGAACATTTCATAGTATAATTTGACAAATCTTATTACTATTCAAATAAAGCAGGTATAACAGTTAGCATTCCAAGGGAAGAGGGTACATTTTACAGTATCTACCTGTTACAGTAAGTTTGGCACTGCTCTGCACATCCCCTGTATCACACGAGTATATGCCAGTGTCCAGGGGATCCACATCATGGATAAGCAACAGGTTGACTTTTCCTTCCTTACGTATCTCATATTTATCACCATTTTTTAGGGGGATGTGGTTGCGCCTCCAGGTAACCGGAGAGGTAAAATCTGAGGTCATGCAGGACAAAGTTGCTGTCTCTCCTTCCATGATCACGACATCTTTAGGCTTCTCTTCAAATAAAACTAGGATTTGAGATAAAATGACACTTTAGAATGCCTGATTCAAAGGAAATCGTTTTATCTGAAATTACACATTAGTGATGAATAATAAAAAAGTTTCCCTTATGTTTCTGCTCACCCTTGGGCTTAGGAACAACTAGCAGACGTGCAGAGGTCCTCTCCTCCCCGATCACAAATGCCACAGTGCCCGTCTCCTCAGGTGTTGTCATGGTGAGGACCAGTCGGTGCAGGCGTCCCTGGCACATCATCTGGTTCATCTCGTTCTTCTGCAGAGGGCTGGAGCCAAGCCACCAGACCCCTTCACTCACGTCTGCATGGCTCAACTCACACTCAAACTCTGCGTCCTCACCCGCTGTCACCGTTATGCCTTGCAGCTCTGTAACGATCCGCACACGCTCTGTGGAGGAAGAGGAAGCTATATACAGCTGGATTTTTAGAGATGGAGATGGAATGTGATTAATTTTACAACAACTTAGATGAGAGTGACCTGTTGGTTCTATTCATGCCGCATTTCTTGAACTGTAAATGAATTAGCCAGATATATCAGTAAATAACAGTGAAATATCAGTAAAATTCTACTTTAGTATCCACCTACCCCTCACAATCAGCTTGGCAGTGGTCTTCTTGCCTCTGGAGATACAGGAGTACTCTCCAGCATCCTCCAGATACAGTTTTTTAATCTCCAGGGTGTGTGTGGGGCCTTTCTTCTTTAAAATGTATCGCCCTCCATCTTCCACCACAATGTTGTCCTTCTTCCAAGTCACAGGGACATTAGCACTGGAAACTTCACAAGACAGCAGCACAGACTTCCCCTCCATCACGGCTTGGCTTTCCAGTTCCTTCTCAAAGAACACAGATGCTGCGGCTGGTAAAAGACAGAAAAGAGACGGTATGTTACAAAAGTGTCGCACGTGTGGGTGCTGCTTAGCGTAACACAAAATAGCAGCATGTCAAATACCTCTCACGTTCACTTCAGCAGTTGTCTTCTGTTCCCCTAAGATGCAGCTGTACTCCCCGACGTCCTCGGGCTGGATGTTTTTGATGTGCATCTCAGCTATCTTCCCTCTCAGGGTCATCTGATATCTTCCCCCATGATAGAGCTGATCCTCGGCCTTCCACCACTGCACAGGCACGCCGGCCCTGGACAGTTCACAGCGAAGGCTCACGTTTCCTCCTTCAGGGGCCTCCTGGTTCTTCAGACCCATTTTAAAGGAGAGAGGGATAGCTGTGGAAAAATCAAGCGCATTTTGTGTTTTTTTTTTTATGTCTATCTATGACTGCCATGAAGGTGAAAACACTGTACCTGAATCAATCAAATAGAACATTTCAGCAGATTGGATAAGGTGGTTTAACTTTTTGCTTTGTAAATGCAAAAAGACACAAACATTCTTTCATTTACAATCTTCCCTTACGTGTAATGGTGATGTTGGCTGTGGTCTTGACGTCACCATATATACAGCTGTAAAGTCCACTGTCCTCCAGCTGTGTGTTTTTGATGGTCAGCTCCATGATGCTGTTTCGATTTTTAATCTGGTACTTGAAATTATTCTTCAGCAGCTCTTGTCCTTTCCTCCACTCCACAGCAAGGCCAGGCTTAGACAGCTCACATCTCAACGTCACACTGTTCTCCTCCTCCACCTGCTGGTTCTTTAACTTTGTCTTGAATGTGATTGGAGGAGCTGCAAGGAGAACAGCCAAAGAGTGGATATTTTCTAAAAATGGAGAAGGTTTAGATATTCTCTAATCATGTTTTCAGCTCGGGATCTCTAGCTTACCTTTGACAATTAGCTCAGCAGTTGATTGGCTATCGTCAGTCTTGCAGGTGTATTTCCCAGCATCGCTCTCCTCTATGTTGTTGATGATCAGTTTAGTGAAACGTCCCTCCTGTTTCATCTCATATTTGTATCCAGGTTTGAGGATCACTCTGCCTTTCCTCCAGTCGACTGGAGCTCCAGGTTTGGAGAGCTCACAGCAGAAAATGCCACTGTCCCCTTCCTTTACCTCCAAATTCGCCACCTCTTGTTTAAATGTCACTGGAATTGCTGATAAAAAACCATCAAATTAAGCAAAATCTGAAATGATTCACTCTTTCATTTTCCCACACAATTCAAAATAGTTTCTTGTAAGATTTCTTAACACATCTACCATACTTTGTGGGAAATACTAGGTCTGTCTCACTGTGGTTAAGAAACAAAATGTCGTTCCATGTAATGGCTGAAGCTTACCTCTTACTTTAATGTCAGCTGAAGTCACAACAGTGCCAACAAAACAGCTGTACTCCCCAGCATCTCTGAGAGTCAAATGTCTGATCAGCATCTCAGTCACCCTGCCTTCTTGCTTCATCTGATATTTTTCTCCCTCCTTCAGAAGTTGAGCGTCTTTCCTCCACTCTACTGAGACTCCTGGTTTAGAAAGCTCACAGCGCAGTGTCACGCTGCCTTCCTCCACAGCTTCCTGGTTCTTCAACTTTTGCTTGAAAGTTACCGGGATCGCTGAAGAGTGACATCACAGACAGACAACGCAAAATACTGTATAAGAAGTGCAGATTACCGAAGCATAGTTATGTTACTATGTTACATCATGTGTAATGGCTTTCACCAGTGATGATGATGGTGGCAGTAGTTTTTATGTCATCACAAACACAGCTGTATGTGCCACTGTCCCCGGGCTGGCTTTTCCTGATGAGGAGCTCCAGTGTGGAGCCGTTCTGCTTCATTTGGTATTTCTCTCCGTTGGTCAACACGTCGTCTCCCTTCTTCCACTGCACTGATGTGCCAGGTTTGGAGAGCTCGCAGCAGAGTGTCACTCCGTTACCCTCCTGCACCTGAATATTCTTGAGTTCTTGAAGGAATTTGATGGGCCGTTCTAGAGTAAACCACAGGAGGAGAAGGAGTCTGTTTTGCTGCTCTTTAGTCCTGACTGAAAGCTGTTCTATACTTGCTAACACATTGATCGTTTATTCACCTCCTGTACTAATATATTCCATCTTGTCTTTCAACCAACCAAATCTTATGCAATGTATTTGTTTATGTATACTACTACAACAAGTTGTGACCCAGAAATCCCCTAAAACCACCAATAACTCCACAATGTATATGTCAACTTTGTCCATTTTGCATTTAGTTCTGTGTTGTTTTGGTTTGTATTTAGCATGTTTCTATTTTAGCATTTGATTTACTGTGTATTCATTTGATCTTCACATACTTAGTGCGTTATATGTTCACAACATATGAAGCACTAAAGCAAAGTAATGCAAGTGTATCCAGTACTCACCATTCACAATGACTGTAGCTGTTGTCTTTTGTTCTCCACACATACAGGTATAATCTCCAGTGTCGTCCAGACTGAGGTCTGCAATCTTCATCTCCACTTGCAGGTCTTTCTTCCTCATCTGGTATTTGTCTCCATTTTTCAACAGCTCTCCTGCTCTCCTCCACTCCACCGACGGGGCAGGTTTGTTCAGCTCACAGCGCAGAACCACACTGTTGCTCTCCGTCACCTCCTGGTTAACTAGTGGCAGCTTAAAACCTGGTGGTAAACCTGTCAATAAAAGAAAATCTTATTATGTAATATATATATATTATATAAATGGCTAAATAGCCAAAATGTTTTACAATCTGTAGTTCATTTCTCCATTCACACACACACACACACACACACTGATGGCAAGCTACCATGCAAGGTGCTCGCCTAACCATCGCGAACAATTTGGAATTCAGAGTCTTCAGCAAGAGGCTTTAACAAGAATAAAATTTAGGACCAAATAAGGGTTGAAAAAACTCTCTGCTGAAGCAAAACAGGTAAAACATGGCAACAATTATGTGATCATGCAGAGATCTACTGGATTCAGTGGATTCCATAACCAATTTCCTTGACTTCAGTATGACAAGGAACATGATATATGTTACATGGGAGTTTCATTATGACAGTGATGTAAGGGACATGGCAGGTATGATCACAAGAAAATCTGTCATGCTCCTTTTTTCTAGCTAACTATTCAGTTTAAACAGTGGAATGGATTATATGACAATCCATTTTAGGACGTAACTTACATTTTCTATCCCAATCTACCCCCAAAAGTCCTTTTTCTGGCACAAACTATCAAACTATGTTACACCACTTACATAAAGCTAATACTAATGCTAGAGTTTAGTTAGATAAGTGTTTGGGATGTATCTAATTGCAAACTATTGCCTGAAGTTACAGTATGACATGATGTGACTCTATATCCCATCTACTGTATCTTTTCACCCAGCTCACAAGAACAAAATGTACAGTACAAACTGTGACATTTACCCATAAGCATATTGGGTGACAAGATATGAAACTATCATTTCTCCATTGAGTTTTAGTGAAACAACATAATGGATCTCACACAGTGCTAATACCCACTATGTCTATTTTGTATTTGTACTATGTTTGAGCTGACCTCTTTGACGTCTGCGCTCAGGTGATTCTGTTGAACACATTAGGAAAATTCAAAAAAAGAGAAAGAAATGTGCATAAAATAATGAATCCAGCATACTTGCAGTAGTTTCAACATAAATTCCTCTTACCTTGGACGGTGAGTTCAGCAGTTGATTGGCTGTCTTTAGTCTTGCAGGTGTATTTCCCAGCATCGCCCTCCTCTACGTTGTTGATGACCAGTTTAGTGAGACGTCCCTCCTGCTTCATCTCATATTTCTCTCCAGGCTTCAGGATCACTCTGCCTTTCTTCCACTCCACTGGAGCTCCAGGTTTGGAGAGCTCACAGCAGAGAACTCCACTGTCCCCTTCTTTCACGACCAGGGCCTGGATCTCTCGTTTGAATGTCACAGGAAGTGCTGTTGTGGGAATATTAGAAAATCTTGAGTTCATTGAATGCACTGATTTGCAACCTGCCATGCCATTTACCCTGCTTCTACTTTATTTAAAGCAATAACATTTCACACTTTGGTATCACAGGTATGGGATTTGGGATTTTGTACTTTAGGAGATGTACATACACATTCAAAATCTAACGGGACCTGTGGTTATGTCACAGGTGCACGAATTAAGTAAGTAAGAGATATACTGAGACAGCTGAGTCATGGCAGCACCCATAATAACAGCTTTTTAGATATAATCATGAAAATAACAGGGTATAACCATATAATCATTATTTTAAATGACCTGTGAAGATAACATGGGCAACAGGTTTGAAATTCCACAGGCTTCAAACTTACGTTTCACTTTGACTTCAGCTGTGGTTTTCTCATCTCCTGTGATGCAGCTGTACTTCCCTGCATCCTCTGGTAGGACATTGAGAATGGTCATCTGAGCTGTCTTTCCGTCCAGCTTCATTTGATACTTTCCTCGAAATATCTCCTCAGACAGCACCTGAGCACCTCTCTGCCACTGCACCGGGACTCCCTTCTTTGACAGCTCACAGCGTAATGTCACACTGTTCCCTTCTTCAGCCTCCTGGCTCTTCAGGCTCACTTTAAATGTGGCAGGAACAGCTGTTGAAGCAAGCACAGATACTGTTCATGCATGTGAAGCAGAACACCGGCAAGAACGTTAAAGAAGCATTTTACAGGTAGCTCAATAAAAAAAAGAATAAACAAAGAAACAAGTGCGTATGCTGCACTACAAACATTAAACATACCGATAACTTTTACAGTGGCCTTTGTCCTCTGCTCTCTACACACACAGGTGTAGACCCCGCTGTCCTCTGGATCAGCATCTCTGATGATCAACTCCAGGGCCGATTCTCTCTGCTTAATCTGGTACTTGTCTCCATTCTCCAACAGATCTCCTCCAAGCCTCCACTCCACTGAGACACCAGGTTTAGAGATCTCACAGTACAGCGTTATGTTATGTCCTTCCTCCACTTGGAGGTTCTTCAGCTTTTGCTTGAAGGTGACAGGAAGAGCTGAACGCCAAAGATAAAGTTTGAAAAATAAGAAAGAAATCAAGAATTTAATGAACATTAAATTTCCACGTGTATTGTTGTGATATTTAGCTTTTACACAACTATGTGCCAGTGAAGAATACAAATAAAGCTTAGCATCTTGCTACATGATGGAGAGTAACATTAACTACTATCACATTTTCAGTTCTTACATTCTGAGATCTGGCTGCATGATTTTATATCTAAACCAGTGTATTTTTACACTTTATACTCTTTTGCAGTCGGTTTACTGCCTTTTAAATGGTTCTCAGTTGTTGTTTTTTAAATACATATATAATCTAATTCAGCTTAATGCTTGTTGTGTATTGCTTTTTTAATTCTGTTTTGTTATGTTTAATGTCATACTTTGTGTGAGTAACCTACTTGTTACTATAGGAGGAACATACTTCATTAACTTATGTTCTGATCTGACCTTATATTAATATGACTTCCTACAAAGTAAACATTGTAGAACATAATGAAACACTGTCAGTAACAAACCTACCGTTAACAGTCAGAGTTGCAGTGGTCTCTATGTTTCCACAGATGCATGTGTAGATATCGCTGTCCTCAGGTGCTACATCAAAGATCTTCAGTTCAATCAGCATGTCTCTATGTCGCATGTGATATTTCTCTCCATTGCTGATGAGTTCATTGCCCCTCTTCCTCCATTCCACACTGTGACCAGGTTTTGAGAGCTCACAGCGTAAAGTCGCAGTGTTGCCCTCCTCAATCAGCACGTTCCTCAGCTTCTGCTTGAAGGTGACTGGGAGATCTGAGGATGACCATAGATTGAATAATTATTGTTGATGAATTACTGATATTTATTAAGTACATCTGTCAAATTTTGTTGATCACTAAATATCATCAGCCTATTGGTAAATCATGTCCTACCAGTGATTTTGACAGTGGCAGATGTCATCTGATCAGCACACACACAGCTGTAGACCCCACTGTCTTCAGGCACTGGCTTCCATATCAGGAGCTCCAGGGTGGTTTCCCTTTTCCTTATCTGGAACTTAACCCCGTTTTTCAACAGCTCATGTCCCTTCCTCCATTCTACTGGAAATCCAGGTTTAGACAGCTCACAGCGCAACATGACATTACTTCCCTCCTCTGCTTGCATGTTCTTTAACTGCTGTGTAAATGTAATGGGAATAGCTGGAAAACAAAAGTTGACTTTTTGAAGTAAATAGATTTAGGAGCGAGGTAGAAATGCTGAATCTATGCATAGTATTGGTGAATAGATTTGATGCATGGGAATAAATACATCAATAATATGCCAGGCATTCAGCAACTTGTCATAGAGATATGAGCCAAACACATTTTGAAGCACAACACAGCACTCATTAAAACATCTTAAGCCCTATAACAGAATGCATTTTCTTTCTGTGTAATGGAGCTTTTTAACAAACAAAATTGTTTCATAATACAGACAAATCTGAGAGGATAATTATGCTGTGAAAATATATGTTGTATTTTATTCTGGAAAGTAAAACCGTGGCTGACTGGGATATCTAAGACCACAGTACGAGAGACTGAGTTCATGTGCACGCATCATAAATAAAAAAATACTGAAATTACTTACAAATACACTGTTGTGAAAGTGTGTATGCCACATATTTGGTAAGATTACAAAGACAGACTTGCAATAATGTAAGTTTTTGGTAAAATTAACAATAAAGGTAAGGAAGATTGCATACCATGCACTTTGAGGCTTGTTGTAGTGTGGTGATCTCTGCACTGACAGGTATATTCTCCTGAGTCCTCAGGCTTTAGTGCTTTGATGGTTAGGGAATTGATTGTCTTCCTCTGTTTCATCACGTACTTGTCTCCAGGCCTGATACACTCAAAACCTTTCCTCCAGTGGAACTGGACCCCAGGCAGAGAGTACTCACAGGTCAGGGTCACAGTCTCCCCCTCTTTGGCCTCCACAGTCATTAGAGGGTGGGTGAACTCTGCTGGGATGGCTAAAAAAAAGAGGAAAAACAGAAGAATGCTAACTTTTCAACAATAAGCAGAAAAACTAATGTTATTACAAATTTTACCTGTATAATCAGTAACACTCCTCTGGCATTTAATGATGGGCAATAGTAAGTAATAGCAGTCCTACAATAACTGTCCAATAAAATGCTAATCATACCTTTGACAGTTACCACGGCTCTAGTTGTAACAGATCCAGCACTGCACTCATACACTCCGGCATCGTTATTGCAGACCTCCCGAATCGTCAGCCGAGCCTCACAGCCGGAACGACTGGCAAAATACCTTGAGGAGTTCCACATCAGACAGCCATCTTTGTACCACAGGATGTGACATGGCTTGGAGGTCACACAAGACAAAACCAAACCACCACCTTCAATAGCCTCACAGTCTTCCAGTGCTTTAATGATGGTGGGACGCCTCTCTAATAACAAGAGGAGATGAAGCCAAATCAAGACCACATTAAATGTGACTTAAATACACACAATGAAACTCTCTGGCAGATTGAAACCTCACCTCTGACCAACAGTGAGGCATACGATCGTTTGTCCCCTGCTGAAAACGAGATAGTGCCAGTGTCTTTGCGGGCGAGCTGTCTAAATGTGAGTGTGTGGTAGCCTCCAGGCACCATCTGGATCTCATTGAGCTGATTGGTGTACAGCAGGGTCTCGTCCAGATACCACTTGACTCCAATGTAGTCACTGGGACAAATTCGACACCTGAATGTGACAGTGTCGCCCTCAAGACACTCAACATCTTCCAATTCATCCAGGATCAACACCTTCTGACCTGAGAAAAACATGGAAAATATGGAGGGGTCAAATATCACAAAAATGTTTCATACATAGTGGCTACTAGAAGCCTTAATTAACATCCTTAGTACTTTATTGAGCATTACACTCAATAGAAATGGAAGAATTGAGGATTATTTTCAGTATCGTTTTGGCAAAGGATTTTAGCTTTGCATGTATACCCACAGTAAGAATACATTATTTTGCTGACATGCAGTATCTGTGTTAAATAATATATTGCAATTCTGTTATTATCATATATCAATTGAATATAAGCCTTGAAATCAAGACTTCAATGGAGAGTGAGAAGAATACAATTCATGTAATATTGGGCTATTTTTAAATGTGAAAATATATCCCAGAATTTCTCCTACAACTGAATTGACATTTAAGATAAAGATCCATCCTTATATAGCCCGCATAACAGTATCTTTAGCCCAAATAACATTTGGCCCCAGTTTAATTTAAATGAACACCCCTGAACCACACTGATGCAGTGAATATGTTCTCACCCTGCACAGTCAGCTGTGCCCGGCTCTGCATGGTACCAACATCGCATATGTAAATATCTGTGTCCGACTTCTCCAGACAGGTGATGGTCAAGGACAGCACCACGCCCTTCTGCCTGATGACGTACTTCCTACCACACCTCAGCTCCACCATGCCCTTCAGCCAGGTCACCCGCTTGGCTGGCCGCCTGGTCTCACACTCCAGGGTAACTTTACCCTTTTCCTCTGCTCGTGTGTCCCTTAACTCCCTCGCAAATGTGTGCTGGAGTTCTGAAAGGAGATAACAAAGTTTAAAAAGATTGCAGAACACCACACTGTATCGTAAATAGTCATCATCAAACATTTATTTTGAAAGCCCTCACCTACCTCTGATCTCCAGCTTGGCACGCGAGGCAACGCCTTCGGCCTCACAGCAGTAATCTCCAGAGTCTCTGATGGTGGTATTCTTGATAACCAATCGCGCCAGGTTCTTCTCCACACTCATCTCGTACTTAGGGCTCTGCCTAATCAAATGGCCATTTTTCAGCCAATGTATGATGACGTCTGGTTTGGTAATCTCACAGCTCAACTCTGCATCCTCACCCGGCACCGCTTTGACATTCAACAGGTCCCTGAAGATGTGCACTGGCTTTTCTAAAGGAGGGGAAATACAAATTGCTCACATTCTGGCTAATTTCAAGATAAAATACAGAGTCTTCCCCATATACACAAATGCAGATAAAACAGTGCTGAGTATTTTATCTGAGATGGCCAGTATTCACCTTTAACAAAGAGCATGGTCCTACAGCTCAGGTCTTTAATTGTAAACACCACGTCTCCAGCGTCGGTCAGCATAGCATCTCTAATGGTCAACTTATACTTGCGACCATTGTTGATAACCTGGATACGGCTATTGGTGACCACCACCTGGCCATTGATGGTCCATGAAGGCTCATCATCAAGATCATGAGAGAGCTCACAGTCAAAAGTGCAGCTTTCGCCTTCCAGGACAGATGTTGTCTTCAAACGCTGAACAATAGTGATGTGTAAGTCTGTAAATAAGATATTAAGCAAAGAAGCCTTATTACAATAAATATACCTTAAAGATTTAGTGTCAGTTTTCTGAAAAAAAATTGAGGTTCATTCTCTCATTCTGTCATTCATTTGATGGCAGACAGCTTATTGTGATATTGATGTCTTCCCAAATTACCAACAACTTTTTCTACTACTTACCATGTACAGTAACTTTAGCCTTGGTCTGGCTGGTGCCCAGGTCACAGATGTACTGTCCAGCATCATCCTTGCTCAGGGAACGGATAATCAGTGCTATGGACTTCCCAAACTGAAGTAATTCGTGTTTATCATCTGCGGTCAGAACCATGTCATCCTTTCTCCAAACAGGGGTCACTGTCTCTTTGGAAATTTCACACTGCAGACAGACTTCCCCTTGCTCTTCTCCAACTGCATCCTCCAGTGACCTCAGGAACACTGCTGGGCGCTCTGGAGGAAAAAATTACTATTCATAGTATGCATGTTTCTCAGAAATCAATAAATAGAAATGTATATATGTATCAGAAAATAAAAAAGTTATCGCCCCAGCTGACCTTTGACCTTTAAGGTGGTTGTCTCAGAGAGAAGGCCTGCTTTGAAGGTGACCCTGCTCTCCTGTGGCCGCAGCTTCTTGATTGTGAGGCTGTGCATAGTGCCCATGTGCTGGATCCTGTTGATGGCGTTGGAATAGAGGCGAACATTGTTGAGGAGCCACTCCATGTTGGCAACCACATAGTTGAGCTCACATGAGAATGTGGCAATGCCATCCTCCTCAATTTCCACTGGCTCAAGGTGTTTAACCAACTTCAGTGTTCGCACTACAATAACAGGGAGAAATTCATTATGAATCTTCAACTGAGCTAACATAAATAGGTAGTGTAATAAAAATACAGAAAGTGTTGTTACTTTACCTCACAACTCAATTTTCCCTAGACCATAACCTACCTTCTACTCTAACATGTGCTGAGCTCTGTGAACCTCCAGCCATGCAGCGGTACTGTCCTGCATCCATCGCTGTCGTGCCATGAATGGTCAGCTCTGCTCGTTTCCCTTCTCTCTTCATGCTGTACTTGTTTGAGGTTTTCAGAGCCGTACGACCTTTAAACCACCGCACCACCCTGGGAGAGGGGGCAAACTTACAGCTCAGAGTCACAGAGCTGTTCTCTTTCACCTCTACATCATCCAAGTGGTCTGCAACTTGAAGGGGTCGCTCTAGAGGGGAGAGATGTAAAGCCACTTAATGAGATATTCCTAAAAACCAGTCCAAACTGCACAGGGTGTGGTTCCTATTTACTTTTATATTTTTACTGTATTAATGTTTATATTGTGCACTGATATTTCATTTTAAACCACCGTTTTATCTTTTAGATAATAAGAAAAATCCAGTTCAATGACAACTTTACATTGCTTTATCCATGGTCTCTCTAGCATAATCAGACAACTCACCTTTGACAGTGAGCTGAGCAGTGGAACGACTCTTGCCAGCTACAAAGAGAACAGGGCCAGACATGGAGCTTTCTGTGGAGGTGAGACAGAGGCTGTGGAGGGTGCCCTCTCTGTCAATGTTCACTGCTATGCTGGGCTCCAGCACTTCACCGTTCAGGGTCCACCGGGGTGGCCTCCCTGATTTCAGGCTGGTCTCCACTTGGAACAGTGCTGGCTCTGGCTCCATCACCTCCACTGAGCGCATCCCCCGCACTATGCTGATAGCCTGCTCTGCATGTACAGCCATAATACACATCACCACTACTGACACGACTTACAACAGTACAAAAAAACACTCTTGATTGTATAGTTTGAACATTAGAAACACATGCATACAGGCATTACATGAATAAAAAACATACTGTAGGCTATAAACATAACATTGTGTATAACTGATATGATTACTGTGACAGCAGGAATCTCACCCTCCACCAGAAGCTGACAAGAGGTTTTGTCATCTCCTGCATCACAAGTGTAGGTGTCCTCATCCGAAGAGCAGACGTCATCGATGGTCAGCTGCCTGTAGATATCTTGGCTGATTAGTTGGTACTTCTTACTGGGCAGGAGCTCCTTCCTGTTCTTGTACCACCTGACCTGAGCATTAGGCCGTGACACATGGCACTCCAGCAGACCCCGGTGGTGATACATGGCTATCTTGACCCTCAGAGGACGCACTATTTGGACTGGGAGCTCTGAATAAGGGAGGAACAGGCTGTGAAACTTAAGTGACCAACTGGGGTCAGACATAATTTCCTCCATAAATATGTGTGGTTGTGACATTAACAGCCAGCACTTGGCTCACCTTTTACTGTGAGAGTTGCATATGATGAGACACGCTCTGCAGTAAATCTGATCTCTCCAGCATGTTCTGGCCTGACTGACTTGAAGAACAGGGTGTGAGTTTTACCTGTGATCAGATTAAAGCAAAAGGTACTGTATTTAACCAGATATTTATATAAATATACCTAGGAATGGCCCAGGACAACCACTCAAACGCACCTCGAAGCAAAAACTGGGGAGTATTTACCGTACACTCTTTAGGCCACCGTAAAACCCATGTGGTTGGTCTCTTACCCTGATGTCTGATCTTGATGTTGTCCCCAGGTCGAATTCGGCAGTCATCTCTGTACCACCGACCATCCACATCAACCTGGTTGACCTCACACAGGAAGTTCACGTGTTGACGCTCAATCGTGTCAACATCCTCCAGCTCCTTCACTATCTGGATGTCCCTAGCTGGCAGAAGATAACCAAACAAACTCTCTGATATCCTTGTAATTACTTTTTGACAAGATTTTTGTCTTGCTCCCTCTCTAGAGCCAGTGTTTGGTAGTGATAGTTGTTGAGATATTTCAATACAAACCAAAAATGTCAACCTGCTGGTGGTACTAGTGGAAAAGCCAGGGGATCACAAAAGTCACAAGGACTCAACCTCTAGAGACCATGAATGGCTGTACAAAATTTAGCCTGGAATAATAGTGACAGACCAACATAACTGTCCTTCCATCAAATGAATTAGGCTATTACCGTATTTACTGTAGTAGAAAAAGAGTGCAGTCATATTATAATGACTTTATTCCATAATTTAAACCTTGGCCTGGATTTTACCTAATATGTCCATTGTCTTTTTCACAGAATTAAAGTGTGACCATGCAAGTAGCAAAGTCTATTGTACTACCTTACCCGTGACGCTGAGTCTGCCTGAGGTCTGAACACCGTTGGCCTGAAAAGAGAACAGGCCTGCATCTGCCAAAGCCACCCGGTTCAGTATGAGGGAGTGTTTCTTCCCATGTGTGCTGATGCGACAGTTGGGCTTGGACTTAAGCTGCATCCCGTCTCTGGTCCACACACCCTCAATATAGGCCAGGTTGAGGGTCACCTCAAAGGAGCAGCTCTCACACTCAGACACCTCCACATCCTCCAAGCCCTTCACCACTTGCAGACGGTTCTCTGGCACACAAACACACCCAGCATTAGAAATTCAAAAAGCCTGTCTCATTAACTACACTGAAATTTACAACTTTGTTTGAGAACAGAACGTACTTGCAGCAGCTACTATTCCTCCAGGTTTATTGTCTCCCATGCCTCCTGCTCTTGTGTGATTGGGGAATCTTGATTGCTTTTTACCACAGTTATCACAGAAGGCCTACAACTATAATATGATAAGAAAAAAAAAGATATATTGGTTAATGTTCCGGCTCAGAAGATAACTCATAAATGCTTATATCATTGTTATAAAGGATATACAGCCATAAAACTGCCATCTTCCACCAACTCATTCACACTGCCATGCAGTGACATTCAGGGACATTCTGTCAGTACTTTTTTGTAATTAACCTCTGCTGCAATGTATGGCCCCGTGTTTGTTTTGGACAAACCTAAAATTCCCATGCCGAACAAATTACTCTCATGCTAATAATGATATAAACCATCGCTTCCAAAATGGCAACATTGTCAAAATGGATATACATGGCATCACCCTCATTTGGTTGATCCCTGTGATGGCATGCCAGGCCTCTCTGTAATCAGTAATCTCTGTCACCTTACTTGGCTGAGCTCAGCACCACCAATATAGACTCAGCTGTGATGCCACCTCCATGAGGCTGCATGAATTGAACTGAGCAGCTTTAAAAAAATAAACGAGGGGCCAAACGAGAACTACCAATTACTAAACTGATTGATATGATATTTGAGATCATGAGACACTGTTTGGAGGCTGGCTCCTCCCTCAATAATTAGGGGCATTAGGTTGTCTAAGCACTTCAAGAGAAAGGTTGTTCTATCTCAATATCTATCAGCTAAAATTACATTTCATGATGCGTCACATAATGACAATTAATGAATTTGCCAACCATTATCTAGATTAACGTGAAATGAATAAATAGATTCAAATAAAAATAAAACACCTCTGAAATGAGTACACTCAAAGCAGCTGAGCGTAAAATACCGTACACACCAATTAAGACTCCTGACCTTACATGAAACTTACATATCGTATACAACTATGCAGTATGATTAAACAAATGTTCTATTAATATTACATTCGATAGTGATTACCAGAACAACACAATATTATATCAGATCATATGCAACAATGCACCCACCTTCAACATAGACAGGTGTTTTCTTTAGATCCTTGCATGCCCTCCTGTTGCACCAATGGCAAAAAACAAAACACTTTTACCTGAAAAAACAGCTCAATAAAAGATCCACCATGGCAACAGATCTGTCTGAGTCTTGTCCTGTTTCTCATAAAGCCTTGAAGATTAACAACATACGTTTAGCCAAAGGAGACCATGCCCAGGTTTACAAGCTGCGTCCCAGTCCCCAAAGCAGACAGCCTATAGCACTTTCTCTTTTTTCTTGCTTTGATGGAGCGTAGTGCTGAACAGCTGACATATCTTTCCCCACATACTAACCTCAAAAATAGCCTTCTGTCAGTATGAGGGCAAAGATAGCTTTGGCTTTAATGCTGTGAGACAAGTCATGTCCAGCAGTAGAACTATCAAAAACAATCAAAATGTATACAATAGGCTCGGTGTGTTTGATGGTTTTCTAGTGTGCATGGATGAGTGAGCTTAGTCAGTTACTCCCAAGCATCTCAGTAAGTGAAAGTTACCTTCATGTAGTATGAGGATGCAGGTGAGCGGTCTACACCATTTGTACTGTCTGCACATGAACGTGTTGTTGTATACACAATCAAATTCACAACCAGGTTGCTTACACAGAGATCTGAGATCTCCTCCACCAAAATGACCAAGACAGAAGTAGAGCATTATGCATGTTATAAGGCTGGTGTAGTTTAATCACATGCTCTTTACAAACCAACCTATATCTGTCAGTGTGCTAAACCTCAAGTTAGAGAGATCAAAGTCTATGGATCTCCACAGAGAGTTTCCACCACTGCTGCAGTTGAAAGGTCACAAGAGATTAAACAACTTTAAGCCACACATTTCCTCTCTTAAATAACACTCGATCAGCATTCCCTTGGGAGGTAATTTACTGACATCAGAGTCAGTGAAGGTGGTTTGCTACCCATGATGGCTGAACACTAGGGGCTCAAAGGACATCAGACTAAAAAACAAAGAAAGCAGTAAAAGTAACACAGCAGCCATTCAATGCAGATATTAATTGAACATAGCTGGGAAATGCCAGTACACCCACCTCTAGCTCCTCCTCCTCCAAGATACTTTGGGCTAAGACGTTTGTGTTTGCATTACAACAACAAGGTTGACATTTGTGGGGTTCCCTCATCCAGACAGCAAGACAGAACAAAGCCAGCACTGCCCCGCATTGTGTTCCCCCTCAGTTTGACAGACAGCTCCATGTGCACTCTTAAGTCCAGTGAAACTCAACAAGATAATCTCTGTGCAGTCCTGCTGGGGCACAAAAAACAACTTGTCGTCACTGAGTAGGGAATGATGGCCCGCAGAAGCAAACCAGTCTCATTTTACAGATCTCCAGTAGCCCGATCATTACAAGGCTTTTTAACAGCTTTCTTGGACATTTGAGTGGAAAGGAATAAAGAGTCAATTTAAGGATACGTGAAGATCTTTTGCTTATGCATACCCCAACAGAACATGCATCATAATGAATTAATATTTGGGGTATTTTCTAAACAGGATGTCAAATTGCTTGAAGATTTAAGTGTGAAAAGAACACAAATCATCTCCCACCACAGTGAAGACAACAGTCTTGAAATGTGTGTAGCATCCTATCGATGGCGCACAACGGCTAAAAATAGAGTAATGTTAAAGGAACCAAGGCAATGTGAGGATGTGTTGAGTGAATTTAGAACTTGACAAAACAGCTGAACACTCCACCTAAGCCTCTGGATCCTTGTTTGGAAACACTCCCTCCTCCTGTGTGTCACATTTCCTCTGGTCCAGACTCTCTACACCTGACAGTGGTCATAAGAGGAGAATATAGAGTAATGTATTTTGTTCAACATATATATTACATTATGATTACTACAGTAGTCATCTGATCATGAGCCTAGTGACATAAAAGACCATTTTAATCCATGTGTTCTGTGTAACACCATAACGTGTTATTTTCCCAAATGTAGAATTCAGGCATGGCCATACAGTAGAACACCCTTACAACCTTAGATGCCCTTGACTGAAGCAAATAAAAGAAACAGCCTTGGTATGTCTAATTACAGCGTGGCCTTGAGTCTGATAACTATAGCCATAGGAGTCTGTGGACCCAAGCCAGACCACTGGATGTATTTCAGATCATATTCATATGGAATATGTAGTTTGGTTGGCTGCATATTAAGGTAAATATTTCAACAAGGATCAGTCATCCAGTTGATCAACTCCAAACATGATCATATACAGAGGTATGTATTACAAGGTTTAGGGTTAGTAAATATTGATTTTTAGTGATAAAAATGTAATGACTTTTTATGTTGTTTTGGACAAAATGATTATTAAAACCTGCTTAGAGGAAATTGAATATGATGGTCACAAGACAGCAGTTAGCACCTTCCCTTACAGACTGTACAAAGTCCTGTGTGAATTTGGGAGCTGTGGCTTTCTGTGTGCTTTAACCAAGTTTTAGTAACAGGTCCGATAACCTTTCATCATCATATTGTATTCACATTTCTAACATGAGATGTAAACATATCACTGCTTACCATTTCTGTTCTGCTCTGTTTTCTGCTCTAAACAACAAAACAAGCAACAAAAACAAAATGACTGCTTTTGATTGAATTTATTTAGTTCATAGCAGAAGGCAATTCACAGATTTAACTACAGTCAGCTGTGATAAAAACATCATGACACATTTATTTTTTCCCTTTCTTCTTTGTATCTTTTCCTTTAACTGGTGCCTCTTCTTCTTCCTTTCCTGCGGCAGCTTTAATCCTCTTCTTTCCCAGCGGGGTCTTTGCATACCAGTTCTGGTAATACACAAGAAAAAAAACACAAAAATCAACAATAAGAGTATAAACAAAACAAAAAAACACTAAAGAAAAAGCAAAAAACATAAACAAAATATTAACTATCCACCGTACTTTAAGAGCTTCTTCTTCCTCCTGAAACACAGGGTCAATCTTGGCTAATGGAGCAACAAACTCAGCAGCAGTGAGCGGTCTGTTTGTCTGCTGTAGGATGCGACGCTTGGTGACAACGGTCTGGATCACCTGGATCATGTGACCTGGTGTGTAGCCATCAGAAATCTTTGCAAGAGAGCTGAGGTCTAGTGCCCTGGTTACCTCACCTCCCTGCTTTTCGATCAGCTGCTTCCACAAGACTGATCGAAAACAGAGTCAAAGGTTATTTTGTAATAACATCCACCAAAGATAATACGTTATATTAAAAACTAATTGTTTCTAAACTTACTGTATCTTGAGCCGTAGTCAGGTCTTGGGATGAGGATGATTTTGCTATACATCTTACACAGTGACTTGATATCAGCGCTTAGTGGGTCTTTAGTTGTTCCTATTATCAGGACACGGTCCTCCCCTTTGATCAGCTTGAGAGACTTGGGCAAGTCTTTTTTCAAGCGTTTGGGATCTAACTGAGTACACATGAAAAATGATTCAATTGCCATGCAGATCGATAACTGAAACATTAAAAACAACACGATAATGTCGTTACACTTTTATCTTGATCAGAAATACCTCTTTTTCTTCCTTGGGAACTTTCTTGTAGAACATTTTTTCTGCATCTTCAATCCATATTACTGAAGGCTGCAGCAATCTTGCAACCTGTGTGAAGATGGTAATGAAGAACTGCATTTTTATTTTCTGGCCGAGCCAAAATGTAAATACCTGCGAGAGGCCCTTCAATACAATTCCTCATGTTCTATTAAGTTCACCATGAAATTTTAAACTTAATCAATAACAGGTACAACATTTTTCCATGCATACCAAAGATATTTACTGTTTGGCTTACAGTGTTTAGTGACAAGACCTCTACTGAAGTTAAGCATATGCATATAGGTTGGACTAAGTTTACACTTAAGCTTCAAAGAAATAAAATACTCATTTGCAGTTTCTAGAAAACCCACTATTATATGCTTAAATGGCAATGGCACAAAATTCGTTTAAATTCGTGTGTTACCTTAAATACCATGTGAAGCATCATGGCCAGGCCACTCTTGCCTGGGTACTTTCCTGCCGTATTTAGAGGAGACAGATCAAACAGGCTGGCACCTGTCTCCTGGCAGATTGCATGGACCAACATCTTCTTACCTACGCCTGCCGGCCCTGCCAGGAGGATGGCCTTTATCAGAGGAGCCTTCTCATGTACCAACTGAGAGCCTGCAGACAGCACACATCTTATACTCTAACCACAAACACTATTTTCAGTGACATTTATTTGAGATATGTAAATAAATAAATAGACTTGAATTACTATCTTACCTAATGGTAAAATTGCATACAGAGATAAAACCTGCCGCACATCCGACAATGATGGCATAGGCTCAATGTCATTTTGTCTCAGTGTGGTCCCAAGGTAGCTATAGTCACCTGAAAACAAGAGGGGACAGCTATTAGACTAATAGTTATTAATCTGCAAACTCTATCATTCAGAAAACTGCAACAAAGAACTCATCACAAAGATGAATGTGCCAAAACGACATTTTCATTGTGACCATAATGTTTTGGCGATCATCAACCAGAAGAGGGCAGCACATCACCACTAAATAGTTTCTACTTAACTTGACGTTACAAAAAGGCTCAATTGTAAGAGTTCTGTACTGTGTCAATGCACTGAGTGCAATCAGATTAAAAGTCCAATCACAAGAACACAGAGTTCTGAAAAATGGCACACTAGTTAACACAAACAATATATAAAGTCTTACCCAGGTAATCCTGCAGCCTAACATGTTTTGCCTGTTTCAACAAGCCCTGTTCCACCAGCTCCTGACACAGAGACTCAAGAGTCCTAGTAGATGTGCATAAATGATAAAATCGTTTTGTCCAGCATTAGCATTGACTAATTTATTGACTCACTTCTGAAAACAATATTCTTCATACATGCATCCTCTGTCTGACCTCACCTATCAGATGTTAAATCTTTCTCCTTTTTCTTCTTCTTGCCACTCTTAGATCCTTTCTTTTTCTGTGGAGTAAAATAAATACCATCAGGATACAGCTCAAGGTCAATGATGTCAACTGTGACCAAATCATCCAAGACATATACAATGTGTGGACTGCTATTTGTCTTTCACTTATTACCTTGGCATTTCCTTTGGCTTTACCACCCTTGTCTTTATCCACAGCTAGCTTCCATTCAGCCAGCTCCTGTCTCATCTGCTCATCTACCTGATACAAGCAGAACAGACTAATGAGTGCAAGTACAGGTGGTGCTTTTAAAATGTTTGGTGTTCTGTCATTAACATCACCTGTACT